TTTTTTTTTCTTCGTAAATTAAAGAAAGGCGGCAATACCGATGGCTTCAGCCCTTCAGGTTCCTGACAATCACCGAATCGGGAAAATTGCTCAGCCTCCCAAGAGCACCATGTACTCTCTAAAACAGCCAGAGACGTCATTATCCCACTCCTTTTCCCATCTGTAGGTCGGCTGGATATATCATACCTCAAAGAGCGAGAAAAAGGGGAAAAAAATAACTGCAAATTGGCTTGAGTGGATGTGTGAAAGCAGTGCATTATGGAGGAGCTTTCTTGTTGTGTAATGAGCTAATTTATGCAAAATCATGCATACTGAAAATGATTCAGGGTGAATAATAATGAGGCTTTTGCAGATTATGATTGTGTGGGATCTGTGGATGATCTTAAATTGAAAATAATAATAATAATAACAACCCCTCTCCTTCTTTCGCTATAGTGGGATCTCGAAGCTGGCAATGGCACAAAGGGGAGAAAATAACAAACTTAAATCCCAGTTCAAGTAGGAGAAAATTGGAAAGGGGCAAATTAGCATCTTATATAACATTATCAATTCCCACTAAGAGCACTTTATGAGGACACATACCCATCATCGCTGGAGCTCAAGATTTCTTGGTTTAGGTTCAATAGTCTCCTAGCAACCGCTGTAATTATGGGGGGAAAAATAAAATAAAGTTGAGCAAAACAACATCTATGCGGCCTAGTTTGGGGCACTGTAATAAACCTTTTGTTGTTGTTGTTTTGTGTGGCCATTTCATTCAATTTCACAGACGTTTCCGTCATTTTTACTTGATTTGAACTTAATTAAACAAAATTAGACTTAAAATAGTCCAATTCAGAGCACAGTTAGCATCACTGCAACTTGCACTTCCATTTTAATAATAGATTTCTGTTCAGTTTTCTAATAATAGGAGTTTATTATGGCGATTAAACATGCAAGTGTTATGAGACCATGATAATATATGACAAATACATAAAATTAACACGGTGGCTCAGTGGTTAGCACAGCAAGAAGGTCGCTGGCAAATGCGCACAGATGGCATTTCTGTGTGGAGTTTGTATGTTCTCCCCATGTTCGTGTGGGTTTTCCTCCAGGGGTGCTCCGGTTTCCCCCACAGCCCAAAGACATGCGGTATAGGTAAATTAGATTAAGTGAATTGGCCATAGTGGATGAGTCTGCATGGGTGTTTCCCAGTACTGGGTCGCAGCTGGAAGGGTATTCACTAGGTAAAGCATATGCTGGAATAGTTGGCGGTTCATTCCGCTGTGGTGATCCCTGATAATTGAGGGACTTAGCCAAAGAAAAATTAATGAAAATTAACACATGAATACAAAAACTATTTATGTACAGATAGATAGATAGATAGATAGATAGATAGATAGATAGATAGATAGATAGATAGATAGATAGATAGATAGATAGATAGAATATTTATTTATGGCTAATTTAAACTTTGATTGGTTTTAAAGCCTTATTTGCATTACTCATTATCTAAACAAAGTCGCTGGTTTCTAAGCCAAATGCAAATATTATCATCATCTCCATTTATTGATTAAACCATACTATAATCAAAACTTCCACGATTAATTGTCGCCGATCAAAAGCTGCACCACAGAGAAATAAAAGGCAAAATACCCTCTACATTTTAGTAACCATCACCGTCTAGTTTACTCAAAACATTGCAAATTAATTAAACATGTATTCACAATTGCTTCTACAAAGGACATATTTTAATTAACTACCGTTCAACAGAAGCTGATTAGGTGTGTGATTTTGTTTGAAATAAAAAATGAGCCACTCACGGTTTCAGTATAGGCTAATGAAAAACGACAGTGCTGTTAGCGCTTTGTCCTGTTCAATTAGGACCAGCGTTTCAGTACAAGAGTGTATAGACAGCGCCCTCTAACGCCACACTAATAGAATACAAAGCAAACGTCTATGACTGTTTGCCATTTAACATTTAATCCAATATAATATATTTTCATGCCACTGTAACTTATTTTAGGCACTAGCATAATTTACATTAAGTAGTATAAGCTACTATTCATTATATATCAGTGCTTATTATTTAAGTTACTCATTTAGCATCCTACACAAATAATTACATATATAGCCTAGTAGGCTACTTCGTGACTAGTTCCTAAACTAGAAGTTAATACTTATTAGATACCTATTCAACTTGTTCATTAGAGACTGCACTGTAAAACGCAAAAAGTTAAGCTAACTCAAACCATTTGAGGAAACCGATTGCAACAAACCATTTAAGTTAAAAAACTAGTCTTAATGAATACTGTGAGCACAGTAAAACCCAATAAATGAAGACAACTCAAACCAACCGAGTACTGTAAATCGGTAAGTTAAGGCAACTCAAATTGCTTGAGGAAACCGATTGATACAACCCATTTGAGTAAAAAAAAATATTCTATAAGAGCACTGTGAACTTACTCCATTTTAGTTAAAGTAATAAGGTATTTACTGAAAATAACTCATTACCTTTATCGCTGAGTTCAAAATTCTTTTCACATGAGTAGATTTAACTTTCAGTATTTTGAGTTACACTCATGACTCAACAGTATGTTAGATAAGCTAGTTATTTCGAACTAGATAATAACTTTTACGGTTATTACGGTAAGACAAGTAATACATTTCAAATGTTTAACGTTGACTTTTAATGGGATTTTTCAATAAGAGATTAACTGGTGCGTTTTGGCTTAACTGTGACTATTTGTTTAGTAACTATTTAGTAGTTTACAGTTTTCATTCCTTAGATCAGAGAAACCAAAACTAGGGGTCGCGGGCCAAAGTTTGCCCATGGTAACCTTTGATTTTGTCCGCCATGCTATCTGAGAAGAGAGAAACAATTTAGAGGAAAGCTGAGGTTAAGGCCTTTAATACACATTGTCATTTCTATTTTATTTTGTTTGTTCAGGACTTCATTGTCAAAAAAGCTAACCTAAAATAATGTTTAAATTATGTTGTAAATCACAGGTGTGTTAGTTCCAACCCTGCTTCAACTCACTTACCTGTAGGTTTCAAACAAGCCTGAAGGACTTCATTTTTTTTTTTTTTTTTTTTTTTTTTTTTTACTGAACATACTGTTGCTCAACAGATAAACCACTGTTCAGAAGTTCTCAGTAAGCAAATCAAGGCAAAGGCAGGTCCAGCTTGGCATTTTGTTATTAATTATTTCTTTATTATTTTTTTTAGTTTCATTATAAAATGTAATATAACATTTTATATATCCCCATATATATGGGATTCCAGGAGTTTACCGGGAGACAGAACGATACAGGAGATGGGCGGGAGATGGGTCTGAAATACGGGAGACTGCCGGGAAAAACTGGAGTGTGGGCAGGTATGGTTTATTAACCTTACCGTACGTTAACACCAAAAGCGGCGAGAGTGTCCAAGGTCGCTCTGGCCACCCTGGCGACAACGCTGTCTGCATTCAGCTCCGGCGGCGAGAGCGTCAATTGCTACATTGATCTCGTATTTAAAGGAGCCGTTGCAGCATGTCAGTTACATTCCTGCATAAAACATGTTTCTAGCGTGAAAATGTTGCGCACATCAAATTCATTTAACAATGGAAGATCAAGTTGCGTGTGGTGTGGCTTTGCTCTATTTATCCAATTTGTGTCCATATGTCTGAAATATCCTGAAGCAGCAGTACTGTTTTGTACTGTCACATCGCGTGAGATTCCCGCTTTTTTTAAGATAAATTTGTATAACATCAATGAACATCAGTAACTCGCCAGTAACTTATTTAATGCATGTTCCTGTAAGAAAACATTGGACATAATTGGAAATCCGGTGACCGCAATCATCAAAACCTTGAGAACAACTGTGATCAGAACCAAAGTTCACAGGTCAGTGTTCTCTGAACAAAGAGCTTAGAATGACCAAGAGGCGACACTCAATAGAACGTGCAAGAGCAGCACATAGCAACAGCACTGGATTCCGCCATTTTGGAGTGAAAGTGATCGGCCGTCCATTGGATCTCATTAATGTCGCGATGGCAAGCAGCTGCTTTGTTTTTTATTTATTTATTTAATTAGCGCATTAAAGCTGAGATACAACCTGGAAGATGACAATACAACACTTATTATCACAATCATCAACACTTTTAATGGTTTATTTTACAGACTTATAATATGCTGTTGTTCTATTGGAGTTTTCATTCCAAAATGGCCGCCGCGCCCTCTAGTGGCTGTTTGCCAAATTACACTAGAGGGTCGCCTCTTGGTCATTCAAAGCTCTTTGACTCCGATCAAGCGGTGGACGTCTTCATTCTGATTGCTTGCCGCCGAACCGCGTCATAGCTCATTACCATAGAGGTGACATGATTACAACCGATTTCAACTCTCCTCGACGCCCACGCCGGACAAGACACGCCGCGCTGCTCCTCGCTGCTTATCACCGCCGGCTCTTTGAAAATGAATGACTTCCGGCTACTTTGACGCTCTCGCCGCTTTCGGTGTGAACGTACGGTTACTCTTCACGTGCAAGAGCGGCCGCAGCCATTGCAATTTTTTTGGCTCGGAACTTCCGGTCTCATTCACGTCTATGAATTTTTTAGATGTTAAAAACGTCTCGTTCTGCTGCTTCCCCTGCTGAAAAATCCAGCTTAAACCAGCCTAAGCTGGTTGGCTGGTTTTAGCTGGTCAACCAGGTTGGTTTTAGAGGGGTTTTGGCCACTTCCAGGCTGGTTTCCAGCCATTTCCAGCCTGGTCTTAGCTGGTCAGGCTGGGAGATGACCAGCTATAACCAGCTTGACCAGCCTAGCCAAGCTGGGAGTCCAGCCAAAACCAGCTATATCCAGCTTAAACCAGGCTGGTCAAGCTGGTTTTAGCTGGATTTGGCTGGTCATTTTCCAGCCTGACCAGCTAAGACCAGATTGGAAATGGCTGGAAACCAGCCTGGAAATGGCCAAAACCCCTCTAGTCAACCAGCTAATACCAGCCAACCAGCTTAGGCTGGTTTAAGCTGGATTTTTCAGCAGGGTCATGTTGCAAATGTTTTCCTTAATGGGTTATTCTACTTTTTATGTACAGTCATGAACACACTTGTTTGCAGAGCAAGTAGTTTGGTCATTTTCTGCCATTTCTCCCGTAGGCAAACTGAATCGGAAGTTTTTAAAACAGTTGCAAAAACGAGCGCACTTCTGCATGGCGCACATTACAAAATAAGAGTCCTAAAAAGTTATACTCACACCATAGGAAATACTTATCAAAAGCAGGCCTATTTTGAAAAAGTGCAGCATGTACATTATATACATAACTTCTCACAAATTTCACTCCAGCGATTCTCCATCACTGCCCTGAGAGTGAAACTGACAGCTTTCATTCGTATCGGTCCTCCTTTCCTCAAAACAGTCAAACTCAGTTGCTTCTCTCCAGGACATTTCCTCCTCCAGGTCCTCGGCGTCAGCATGACTGAGAGCTAAACTGAGGATTTCTTTCTTCTCCTTGTAGAAGCGGAGCTCCCTGCCGGTTCTCCGTGCCTCCCCGAGCTCCTTCACAGCCAGCTGCAGCTCCTGGGACAGCAGGCCGGGTGACTGAAGCTCCTTCTGTAACCAGTCCAGTGCCATGTGGCTGCGCGTGCGCTCGTCCAGACGCTGCTGAGAGTAGTACTGGATCACTTCCTGGGAAACGCCGTTACAACATGTGTGAGAGTTCTTTCAATGAAGCAGGAGGCTTGATTCAACCAATAAGTTATGTTTTTTTATATATATTTTCTAAATTAGGAAAATCAAAACAAACACTTGGCCACAGAAAAGAAGTAAACAATAGTTAACCCTTCTGTGCTGTTGGGGATGCTTTCATCCACTCTGGGGTGATTTTGAGGCTTAATTTGTCTAGAGCTTTCTAAAACAGAATGATTGTTGGTTGCAAATCTTATTTTGATACATGTTTTGAGAAAATACATGTTTTGCCCCATTGACTTCCATTATAATAACATATTTTGATTGCAAAGCCCTCACACCATAGCTCAGCTCACACCTCAGCTCTCAAAACATAGTAAACATAGTCATTGTATTAATAAGTGTAACGCACATGTAGCGGAGGCCAGCTAGTAAGTGTTTCGCAGGTAAACCTCACTCCTCTGACCTATAAAGGTGCTTTAGCAGCAGACTCTAGAGGCCTTTAGCCTCCTTGTTACGGCAACCGACCCCCATGCGGAAGGACGCCAGTTCGATCCCAGCTCAGAGCGGGTTGGGTGTTGTAGGACTGGTGGGGGCTACAGTGGTGCCGTGACCTGGATGGGAGTAAGGTTTAGGGGGCGTGAGTGTAACGGAGACCAGCTAGTAAGTGGTGTGCAGGCAAAGCCTCCTTGATAGAGTCACCGACTCCCATGCTTAAAGGGTCACGAAACACCAAAACACATTTTTTGAGCTGTTGACAGTCGTATATGTGTCCCACACTGCTAAAAACACTATTAGGACACCTATATTTCACTAAAAAGTGTAAATTGGTTGTTTTTGCGTTATTTCAAGCAAATTCATACTTCCGGTTTGAAACGAATTTTTGAAGCTGCGTCACGGTCATGACATATTAGCGTGTATTCCAGCGTGCAGACTGGACGTCTGTGCCAGAGTGTGTCTCATTACGTCTTACAGTGTGATGCATTAATGCATGAGTAAGGCTTGGTTCAAACCAATCAGCGCGCTCTATTGTGCAACTTCATTAATATTCATTACTGTCACAGTGTTTACACGACAGAGACGCCACGTTGTATTGGCAAAACAAGCTTGAAGTGTTGCTTTTATAGTTTGCTGCAGTTAAGTTTTGTTTTCATTTTCTCTCTGTGAGAGCTTAGACTCACATGTGGATTACAGTGTACGCGACGCTCAACAACAATAACTTGCGTGTCCAAGGAGGATTATTGTTTACCTGAGAGCTGTTCTCATCTGCAAACGCTGAGATCCGGATTCGCTTGTAGTCTTCTCTTCATAAAGACGCGGCACTAGTTGCTGGTGATTGTCCTGTCTCTACAGATTCGGTAAGTGAGCGACCAGTGCTCTTTGTTTATTCAGTTTGTGTGTATCGAACTAAATTAATCATTGCACCGAGTGTGAACATGTTAGCACCACAACCAAACTTTAACCTTGTGTAGGGTTTTTACCGCATTTTGTGACCGGAATAACACACGCGGCTTTCTGACAGTACCTGCCGTGTGCATCTAAGTTTCCGGGAAATGCAGAGGTTTTTTTTCTCTCATTCGCCGTACGCTATCAAACATTGCATGAAAAATACACGCTTAGAGCAGTTCTTCGAATCAAATATTTCGTTTGTCGCGAGGGGCATGAATGAATTCCCTGAATGAAAGAGCCAAACTGGAGTTAAAGACCACCATTTAATAATTTTTACACCCACTTTTCTTCCTCCCACACTCCCCCCTAAACAGAGCTGGACACGCCCACTTTTCTGACTTTTTCCAAAGTAGAGGTGTGAAAACACCCTGCTGAAACGAGGGGGTTTCATGGCCCTTTAAGGTCGTCGGTTCGATACCAGGTCGGAGCGGGTTGGGTAGCGTAGGACCAGCAGGGTTACACACACACACACACACTTTAATTTGCTGTTTTATTCCATAAAACTAAAAGCCAGAATTTTGCACTGACCTATTCAAAGGCTTAATGCTGCCACTTGATGATCAACAGTAAAATGTACAATTTTTACCTCTTCCCAACAGGGAAAACCACCAACTATCAAGAATGCATGATTATATGCTGTCATGGCTTTGCAATCAAACCATTTGATTAAAATGGAAGTCAATGGGGCAAAAACAGTCATAATGCAAGGGTAGTCAATTTGAACAATACACAAGGGTTAAATGAAACAAAGTGAAGTTTATTTATAAAGTAATTTCGAGGAGCACATGATTATGATTGAACACGGCTGGCCCTGCATTAACTAACGTTTAATTCAGATCAGAATGGACAGCCTAAGTAGCAACCTGCACACTAAAAGCACTCAGAACTGCTTCTTACCTGACGACTGCATCTCATGTCCCGAAAAGCCTTCAGAGTACCGTTCCAGTGCAGCAGTTGAAACACTGTCATTATTTCCTTTAAAAATAAATCATATTATAATTAATATCGGGATTTGAAAGCCTAAAAAGTTTGTGTTGATATAAATTAACACAAACTTTAATAAAATAAATAACGTTAATAAATGCATTAATAAAATACAATTTAATGTGTAATTTAATAAATATTATAAATAATATCTGTATAATTACTCTATTTATATTACTATGATGGTTGGGTAGGGGTAGACGTTAATAAAATACAATTTATTGGGTAATTTAATAAATAATATGAATAATATCTCTATGATTACACTTTAAAATACTGTGATGGTTGGGTTTTGGGTTAATGTAGGAATAGACGTTAATAAAATACAATTTAATGCATAATTAAATAAATATTATAAATAATATCTATATAATTACTCTTTTTACATTACAGTGATTGTTGGGTTTGGGTTTATGTAGAAGTAGATGTTAATAAAATACAATTTAATAAGTAATATAATAAATAATATCTCTATAATTACACTTTTTACATTACTGTGATGGTTGGCGTTGAAGTAGACTTTAATAAAATGCAATTTAAAGATTAATTTAATAAATAATATGAATAATATCTCTATAATTACACTTTACATTACTGTGATGGTTGGGTTTTGGGTTAATGTAGGAATAGACGTTAATAAAATACAATTTAATGCGTAATTAAATAAATATTATAAATAATATCTGTATAATTACTCTTTTTAGATAACTGTGATGGTTGGGTTTTGGGTTAATGTAGGAGTAGATGTTAATAAAATACAATTTAATGGGTAATTTAATAATAATATTAATAATATCTGTATAATTACACTTTACATTACTGTGATGGTTGGGTTTTGGTTTAATGTAGGAGTAGATGTTAATAAAATACAATTTAATGACTTATTTAATATGAATAATATCTCTATAATTACACTTTACATTACTGTGATGGTTGGGTTTTGGGTTAATGTAGGAATAGACGTTAATAAAATACAATTTAATGCGTAAGTAAATAAATATTATAAATAATATCTGTATAATTACTCTTTACATTACTGAAATGGTTGGGGTAAGAGTAGACGTTAATAAAATACAATTTAATGCGTAATTAAATAAATATTATAAATAATATCTATATAATTACTCTTTTTAGATAACTGTGATGGTTGGGTTTTGGGTTAATGTAGGAGTAGACGTTAATAAAATACAATTTAATAAGTAATATAATAAATAATATCTCTATAATTACACTTTTTACATTACTGTGATGGTTGGGGTTGTAGTAGACTTTAATAAAATGCAATTTAAAGATTAATTTAATAAATAATATAAATAATATCTGTATAATTACACTTTACATCACTGTGATGGTGGGGTTTGGGTTAATGTAGGAGTAGATGTTAATAAAATACAATTTAATGACTTATCTAATAAATAATATGAATAATATCTCTATGATTACACTTTTTACATTACTGTGATGAATGAAACTTATTAAATTCATAATTTAATAAATATTATGAATAACATCTCTATAATTACTCTTTTTACCCTACTGTGATGGTTGGGGTAGGAGTAGATGTTAATAACATGCAACTTAATGGGTAATTTAATTATTAATATGAATAATATCTGTATAATTTCTCCTTTTACATTACTGAGATGGTTGGGTTTAGGGTTGGGGTTGGAGTAGTTGTTAAAAAAATTCATTTATCAGGTAATTTAATAAACTATATAAACAATTCTCATTAAATTCTGGCCACAGCTGCATCCCTTCTAGCAGCAACCATGTAAACACAGGAAAATGAGAGTCATTGAAAACAATGATGTCATGAGTATACATAGTGTGTGTTTAAGAAGGTCAAGCAGCTTCCAGTTACATCAAAACTAAACCAGTCTAAAGCAGCTGGACTGGTTCCATCAGGGTTACATTATTCTTCCCCTAACCTGAAATTCCAGCATGGTTTTCCCAGTGTTGAGCTCCAACATGAGGCAGTACGCTCCTATGCTGGTACTGGGGTCAGACGCGTCTGCGATGTTACCCTGTGAACAGAGAGACACAATGACTTACAGACGCGTCATCACTCAACCCCGGTGGACACAAAATACAGAGGGAGGTCTGGCTTTCATTACACACCCCTTTGCTTTGTTATTCAGTCAGAGCAACTTGTCTTTATTGTTGGAGGAGAAAAGGCCAAGACTGCGGAGGATAAATGACATGAGGGTGAAGGGAGACCACACACACACACACACACACACACACACACACACACAGTCCAATAGAATGTGAAAATCCTGGCAGCAACATTCAGATTTAGGGTGAGGGAGGGCGACACGACTTCTTTCTTTACAAGGTTTTTTGATTTTGGATCAAAGCCAATTTATCATTGGAATTGTTTCTTGGCTCTTCATTATATGGAAAGAGGTGGAGCATTTGGGAACCCATGCAAGGACAAGGATCTATAACTACTGTGGGTGGCCTTCTGTATTTCCAAGCTACACCCTTTCTATAGACAGAGAAGATGTAGAGCTGTCAATACAGTACAAATGGGCCTACACTTGATATTGTTAACCCTTCAGCATTATAGACTGGTGGTAAACACACACCTGAGTTATGTTCACCTGCTATGAATTTACCCACAGTTTACCCACAGGCCCTATCATACACCTAGCGCAATAAGGCGCAAGACATGTTTGGCGCGATTTGTTGCTATTTTCAGACCAGCGCAACCCCAAATTTCCCATTTTGTGCCATGTTGTTTAAATAGCAAATCCATTTGCACCACTTTGTGGACTCATGGGTGTGCCGGTCTATAAAGGAGGTGTGTTACAGCGCATTGTTGGCGCGTTCACGGCCGGAGCAAGCTGAACTGCTGCTCTAGGCAGAGGACGATCACACTGCCCTCAACCCCAATGTGAAAATGAAAGTGACCGGTTATGAAAATGAAGTGAGGTGTTGCGGACCTCTATTCTGCCGCCCTATGCGCGGATATAACTGACAATGCGTGGTTGCTGAGGGAGGGAGGTAGGTGTCGCGGACACCGCGCTCTCTATTCTGCCGCCCTATGCGCGGATATAACTGAGGACACGCGAGTGCTGATGGAGGTGTCGCTGACGCCGCCCTCTCTATTCTTGCGTCTATGCGCGAATATATCTGAGGACGTGGGTGGTGAGGGAGGTGCCGTGGACATAACTGAGGACGCAGGTGGTAAGGGAGGTATCGCGGATGCCGCCCTCTCTATACTGCCGCCCTAGGCGGCCGCCTAGGTCGCCTCTATGGACGCGCCGGCCCTGGGCGCGTTGCTATTTTGACGAACTACGATAGACTGTGCAATAGACTAGCTGAAAGCAGGTCTAAAGTCCAGCTCAGAGTGCGCAGCTTAGTTGTGCGCATTAAACGCATACACATCTCTTAATACACACAGGATGTACAGCAATAAATATAAAAAAGAATTAAAGGATTAAAATATTACAGAAATTATTATTTTCTACATAAATATAAAAACCACTGACTTCATGCCTCATCTCGGGAGACTTTTTTCAGTTTATTCGTGACAATTTGCATGTGTATAATGTTATTATTAGTAGTAGTAGTATTTATTTTATGCATTTTTATATTTGTTTTATTAAAAACAAATTTATATTTGTCAACCTATCAAATTTGGGAGATGTATGCAGGCCCGGACTGGCTCTTTGGGAGGACCGAGAGAATTCCTAGTGGGCCGGTCCGTTTTTTGGCCGCAAGGGTTGGTGTCCCTAGCTGCTTGCACTCTCAGTAGTCGCACTTTTTTCATTTATTTATTTATTTGACCATAGCTTCCCTCTTTTTATTTATTATTTTGCCACAGCTCCGCTCTTTTTATTTATTTTCTAGCAGCCCCATGAGCAGAGTGCAGCCTACAGGTTAATGATGACGTAACTATCATTCCAAAAACTTTTCCTTTCATATAAGCCACTTCTGATACCAAGTGATCAACTAGAAGTCAAATTATCATGTGTTGCTCCTAAAACTTAAATAGGCGACAAGACTTTTGTCAGGTAGTGTATATCTTCCTTTGTGTTCAACAAAGGAAAGAAATTCATAAAAGTTTAGAATCTCTAGTGTGAGTAAATGGTGAGGAACTTTCATTTTTATGTGAACCACCCCTGTAGCTGACGCTGATTGGTCAGCTTGTAATTTTGTTTATTGTTTTGTATTTCATTATTTGAATGTGTATTCGTTTATGTTACTAATTTCTTTGTTTCTGGTTGGCTTGAGTGGGAAGTCAAAAGATTCTCATTGATTGATTTAACCTGCGAGAGTTTATATGCCAGAGGATAGTGAGATCTCAATGCAAGCACCTGTTAAGTGCTTTTGCTTATTCTACAGCTGGTTATCAGGCCAACACGGTAAACTGAAATACTTTTATATATTATTTGTTTATTTTGATGTCCTTTTGATTGTGTTTTGTAAAACATTTGGTTTGTTTATTTGTTTATCTTTTAGTTTTCACGGTGTTCAATAAAGAAAATCCATATGGACAGCAGTATTTGGAAGCGTGGACTGTTTTAATAACTGGCGGGTAGTTATAACCCCTTTAATAACACATTCACCAAATAAAAAGTGCTATAACATCTTGTACATCAGTTGTTAGTTAACATCTTGTAACGTCAGTTGTTAGCAATGAAACTCACGCTGGTAGTGCTGACGGCCTCTTTGACGCTGTGTGAAATGAACTCAGGAGTGATCCGGCGGCAGGGCAGCTCATTAAACGTGGAGTTCATCAGAGCGACACGAGCTGCGTCACGTCTGGCCTCGGCTTTACTGTAACAGTGCTGTCAGACACAGAGAGGCTTTCAATTCATCATCATCAAGAAATGCTGAAATATGAGCATCTCTACTGATTGAGCATTCTTCAGGGTGTTGTCTTTATTCCAGATTACACAAACACTCTGATTGTGCTTCAAAGGAAACGTTCCCTACAAAATGATGTGGTTAAAAGAAGCTTATCAGTGCACAATGACATAACTTTCAGCCTGTTTCAGACTGGATGACTTCAGAAAAAGTTCTTGATACCTTTATTGCTTTACTTTGTGTTGTTTATTTGTCAACTTATTTCGAGAGGATCACGTGCTTATGATCAACACGGCTGGCACCTCATTAGCTCTGTAATCTGCTCTATTAGATGATTACGGAAGCATTATAAATAACCAGAGTTTTTCACTCCACTTATTTTCATGTTGAACCCTAGTAGCAAAGAATTCTGGCCCAGATTTGGCAAAAAGCTGGCACAGCAGGCATTCATCCGGCACTGGCATACAGCATGTGGGCCAAACATGGCCCGGGTTTGGCAGAGGTGGCACCGTTTTTAAGGCGGCACACAAGATTTGGGCCAGATGAAAAACGTAGTATTTGGCCCAGATTTAAAAATTTGATAAGTGGGCCATGTGAGTTTGGCCAGTCTTGACCCACATTTAAAATACACTAAAATCATTTTTGAGTAAAGAAAAAAAATTCTACCCATCAGGTCACTTTGAGAAAAAGCGTGCCCATAGTGTGCCTAAAGCGCATCACTCCATGGGTTTATCAATTTCAATGCAATCGTGACACACCAACCTATCTGGCCCAGTTCAGGCCCAGTTATGAGTTATTAACTTGGCTGAGATTTGGCCCAGATATGGTCTGTGTTTGGCCCTTGTCTGGAAGCCAGATTTGGTCCAGTCATGTACCGTAATTCACTGCGGCATGTGGGCCAAGCAAAACCTGATTGTGTGGGCCAGAGCTGGGCCAGAGAAATTTTGCTATGTGGGAAGTTTCCCCCCTTCCCCCCTACTCTCCACCTTTTTCTGATAGGGTGACACGGTGGCCCAGTGGCTAGCACTGTTGCCTCACAGCAAGAACACAGCCGGTCCAACCACCTATTGGGCCGGTCAGTGTTTCTGTGCGGAGTTTCAGCTCTCACCGTGTGGTCATGGGTTTCCTCCCGCTGTCCAAAAACATACAACATAGCCAAAACCAAATTATCAACCAAGTTTACACTTCTCAAACGACAGCAGGGGAGTTCTTGAGACCTACCTGAGCTCGAACTCCCCTCTCGCCCTTCTTACGGGAGGGAGCCCCGAGATCGAGGGTATTACGATTTACAAATTTTTTACAACCACTTAACTTAAAATATTTTAGTAAATTCAAGGAATCATCTTTGAATAATTTATTTCAGTGTGGTTTTAGCTAAACACCTACTTCAATGTAAGAAAAAAGTCTGAAAAGCTACCTTCTGAAAAATTAAAAAGAGTGTGTAAATGTATCTCATATAATATGACAAATAAAAGTATAACGGCACTTTTAATTCAGTTCACTTACCTTGAAATTGCCGAAGCAGCTGCCACCTGGTAATGTGACGTAGCATATGAATGGAGGACTGGGTGAAGGAATGGACTCATACACTACCAGATTCTCTATCTCCATCATCACGCCTGCTGCTTGTTTCTGCTCCCAGAACTTGTGAAGCATTCCCACGACATTCACTAGAAGCAAGAAAAGATCATATTAAAGGGCTAGTTCACTGAAAATCCTGCATCATTTACTAACCCTTGTTCCAAACCTGTTTGAATGCTGGAAACCTGTAACCAATAGTATTTATTTATTTTTATGGTCTACTATGGAAGTCAATGGTTACAGGTTTTTAGCTTCTTTGGTCTTCAACAGAGTAAAGAAACTCATGAAGGTTTGGAACCACTTTAGGCTGAGAAAAAAAGAAGTAAATATTGTGGGTGAACTATGCTTTTAAATACATACTCGTCAGCCACTTTATTTGGTCAACCTTGCTAATATCCTGTTTGCCTTTAATATAGCTTTAATTTATTGAGGAAAGGATTCAACAAGGTGCTAAAAACTATTTTCAGAGATTTTGGTTTATATTGACATCACATAGCTGCTGCTGATTTGCGCATACATGAAAAGAATCTCCTGTTTATATATATTAATTCTTTTGGATTGAGATCTGGTGACTGTGGAGGACATTTTTGGTTAGTGAAGTCTCTGACATTCAAGGCTGAATGGATCCATGCTTTCACATTTCTTACTCTTGCTTTTAAGTCATGATAAATACTTGGTCTCCTTTATTATTATTATTTTTGTTGATGTTCTGTATTAATGTGTTTATTTTATATATATATATATATATATATATATATATATATATATATATATATATATATATATATATATATATATATATATATTTATTTATTTATTTATTTATTTATTTATTTATTTATTTATTTATTTATTTATTTTTGCCCTCTTTCTTGTTGCACATGCAGTAGTTAACTGTTGTTGTGTTTATGTGTACTTTAAAAGTACATAAACTAATGAAATTAAATGAAATGAATGAATATTGTTTATGACATACTCTGACCCTATTGGCCAAATGTCTCAGCAGAAATCAATACTTCATTATCATTTTAGGTCTATATTATACATGTTGTTATCTAAAGAAGACCCATTGTCTGGCAAAGTAAAATAATTTAATATACTGTATATTTAAGTAAATAGCAAACCATAGCAATAAAACAATACAAAATTAAAACATTTTCCCAAAATATGTCTAAAAATAGGATTTGACACAAAAAAAAATAGTTCCATTGCTGAAACACAAAGTTGTGGCCAAATTAAGACTTAACAGTGCCCCCTAGTGGATGAAAAGGTGCCGAACATAACACAAGGGTTAATACTGATACGGAATTACTTCAATTCAGGCAATCTTTTTACAGTCTCCCCGTTCAAACTTTCGTCAAATATAAAAGAAAAAAATCATAAATAAAAATACAGGCTTGAAATGACAGGGTAAGAAAATTTACGTTTTCAATTTCAAAGAAACACGCTGTAAAAATGCTGGCTTCCGTTCCATATTCAATTCCTTGTTGTTGTCTTAACACAAATCTAAACATTAAGTTGAATTAACTGTTTTTACAAAACTTATTTATTTTAAATAAGTTGTTTGAACAAGAAGCAAAATTAATTTTTGAGTGCAATTTTTAAACCTTTTTCAATGCTTTGTGATGACTTTTGTATAATGTGTATTTTAATAATATCTTTTGTGTTAATATTCAGTTTTTACCTCACAGATCGCTAATAAGCTAAGAGTTGCCTCTGTTTATAACAAGTCCGAGTAGTCACATAAGAGGTTTTTGACTGCCGTGTTTATTGAAATTGTGCTTGTTCATCAAACAAACCCAGTTCTGACCGTGTTACTGCCAAACTCTTGAAATGAAAGGTACCGTTTTACATGAATCAATGGCTCTGTTACACAGATCTAAGTCAGCTGACATGTTACTCATAATCACGCAAATTCAAGTGAATGTTATAGTGGATATGCTTCATTATTCTGCATTTTTACACTGAAATAAAATACTTCCCGGTTTCATTTATGGACAAAAACACAATCTGGACAAAAAAATGTTCATTGGCTAGACAAAGTAAAATTCAAGCATGAAGAAAATATTAGATCTTTTAAAGAGGCTAAATGTATTCAGAAATAATTTGTCATGGATTGCAAAACACTGTTTCCTAATTTCTTGTTTTTTCCCCTCTGAATATATTTTTAAAGGATTTGTAGAAAGAAGTCAAACTGTTAACCCAAAATAAACTTTAAATAGTTTTTATGTTACTAAAATTATAATTTTCCTGCACATCTCAATATACATAATCAGTATTTAGGTTTTGGGAATTGGGGTAGAGTAAAATTTTAGGCTTTGATCCAAATTGTGCCATATTAATTCATCCTAAAACTTGGCATTGTCTTATGATATATGAAAACTCTAATGGCGGACGACTGCTTCTCACTCAGGGCTGTTTATGCTAATGAGGGAGAGATGGTCACTAATGGGTGGGGTTTTCCCCCTCTGATGACATGTACAAATGCAGAATGTCAATCAAAGTGTTTCTGCAGACAGTTTTTATCAAGTGTGGTTATAAAAAAAATAATTAATACATTTTTACCATTAGAAGCTGGTTATATTCACACACTGTTGCCACACCACTCTGTTAAAACCCCTTATAATAGTGTTTTTTTCCAAAATAGGTCCCCTTTAAAGGACATAATAGCTATCTTAAAAATTATGTAGACATTTGTTCCATTAGATAAATTGAATAAAAATTTGCAACGATAAGAGAAGCTACGTGAATCTTTTCTTCATTTAAGAAAAGATTCAGTGAACGCGTGCTGGCGATTGAAGGCATGAGACGCGGAGCACTGACACTCTTGATTCTGGAGGTAATTAATAATATAATAACACTAATACTGAAATGGTTACGGCGTTTTAGAATGACTGACACAGCATTTCAGATTTTTTACAATGCTTTATTTAGCCTGCTGGTTTGTCTATTCGCACACATTTTTATCATCACATGATCTCTTATAACACAATCACATAACCTTTTTTAATGCACATGCTGGAATTTGTTTGGTAAAAGCGTTTCCGTCGCGGTTTATGCGCATCATAAGTGTATCTAACTCAGTTATGCGAATAAGTTTTTTAAGCACATTTTCAAAATCAACCCAGGCTCATTCTGAGAACGTAGTCCCGTGGGCATTTCTGGAGACCACAAAATACGTCCGGGAGGCACGTATTTGTGCAGTTTTTGTTTTCGCGAATTCGCGAGAGGCTGCTGTGCGTGCTTTTTTACTTCTCGAGCATCTCTCGCCATTCTCGCATAAACCCACAGGAGGCTGCTGTCGAATGACCGTCCGTCCGACTGGCTGAATGATTGACTGGGCGACCGGCCAATCGGCCGACCCACCCTCCTCCTCCTTCTGTAAAACTTAAGCTGTTTTAACGATTGACCCGCCCGCCCGCTTACTCCAGAAAAAGAAAAGCCCTCGTCTGATTTTTCCACGTTTTCGGATTTTAACAAATTCTCTACCTGTTATGAATTTGTTCACTTTTTTTTTAATTCAGTTTTTGTCTTACCTGATTTCTGAAACTGCTCTTCCCCGGACACGAATCCGGTCGTCATCCTCGTGGTCAGCTCCTCTCTGCGTCTCAAGTCTGCCGACGTACACAACAAGCTAACCAGACAAACTGGTTGCGGCGGGTAAGCCCTCCACACGGAGGTAAGCGTTCACCCGGCAAGCGCAAAAGGGAATGCCGTCACACCGCCCCGTAGCGTCCGCTTCAAAAATGAAATGCAGCCATACGTACCTCCGGCTACGTAATTAACGGTCTCCAGAAACGTCCGCAGGACTACGTTTTTTAGAATGAGCCTGGGTTGTTCAAAATTTATGCGCACCTTGGCATTTCCATCAACCAACTTTTCGTTTTTTTTATGCACATATGCAAAATGAGCATAATAGGTGGATGGAAACGTAGCTACTGGCCCATGAACATTTCCTGTTTGTTGTTAAACTATTTCGTAACTGCAACAGGAGGCAAATTAATCATATTTTAATGTTAAAACCGCTATCATATCATTATTAATTAATATATGGACCTTTTTGGATTCTAGGAAGCTAGAAAATGCAGGAAAGACATTAATGTTATGTTTCCATCCCTCAAAATATTCTATACACAAGTGGCTTATTAGGGTTACAATCTTTTCAGTACCCTTTTTAATCGTTGCTATCTTCACAATCATGAAGGGAAGCCAATATAAATACCATTCATAATTTCACGCTTGCTCATTGTAACTTATTTTCTTAGTCATTCCCTACATAATTACGCTGGCCCTTTAAACACGCTGCTGTTAAAACAGAGTTGTTTATCTCCATGTCTGTCTTTCCATTTACACTGAAGTTACATTGACCGTCCGGCAGCATCAGCACATGGAAACATTCACCTAGCAAAACAAACAGGTGCCTGTGTGAGCTCTGTGAGGTGGACAGATGTCGCACTTCAGGGAGTTGTGCTGCGATTTTCAGCATTTCACACCCTCACTATAAGTGCGATGTTTGTGCAGTCTTGCTTTAATCATCTCTGGCATGGCATACAAAACACACACACCCCTCTAAAGAGGTCAGCAATAATATTGGGAAGGGGAACCGACGGTATATTTTTGTAAAACGAGCATGTATGTGGGAGAACAGGCTTGCTTTTACAGCAACTTTTTTGTTTGTTTGAGAGAGTCAGCTGCTGCGAGATCTGCCCATGTCTGTGTTTGCACGGTTCGACACACAGTACGTGGGTGTCTCGGTCTTGTCTGCTGGTGTGTGAGCAGCACCCATGATTCAGTTTAAGTGTTGAGCTGTCTCTCAGACTGTTGTTTTAACGCTCTTGTCTTATAATTTCATATACACCATTTGTACGTCAAAAATGACCCACCTAAACTAAACCTCTAACATTAAGCAGATATATTTAGTTTCAGTCTATTTTGCATGACGAAACAACCTCAATATTCATCAGAAACCCTGTGAATGTCTAGGTTTTGCCAAATTTCAAGATGAAAAAACATTGTTTAGGGTCATTTTTGACTATACAGTTTAAGTCAGATTTGATAGCCCTCCTGAATTATTAGCAATTATTATATTTTTCCAGAATTTCTGTTTAACAGAAATGTTTTTTTTATAAATATCTAAATTTTAAGATCTCATTTCTAATAACTGATTGTTTTATCTTTGCCAAGATTAATAAAATAATAATAAAATAATATTTTATTAAATAATTTTCAAGATGCTATATTCAGCTTAAAGTGACATTTAAAGGCATAACTAGGTTAATTAGGCAAGTTAGGATAATTAGACAAGTTATTGTATAACGATGGTTTGTCCGCTACTCATCCGTTTGCACTGGCTGCCAGTTGCGGCTCGCATCAAATTCAAAGCTCTGATGTTTGCTTCTGAAGCAATTTCTGGCTGCGCCCCTTCTTATCTGCTCTCACTTCCACAGATTTATAGGCCCTCCAGAAACTTGTGTTCTGTGAATAAACGTCGCCTCGTGGTTCTGTCCCAAAGAGGGAAGAAATCACTTTCCCGAACTCTCGCGCTAAATCTGCCCAGTTGGTGGAATGAACTCCCTAACTGCATCAGAACGGCAGAGTCACTCACTGTCTTCAAAAAACGACTTAAAACTTTTTAGTCTTCACTTTCCTTACTAATCTGCAATTCCCTCTCTGACCCCTCCACTAACTACATTAAAAAAATAAATAAATAAATTACTAATATTTTGCTTCTTACACTTTCTTTGCATACCTGAAACTTGCCTACAGCACTTATTCATTGTTGCTTTTATAGTTGTGTAAATTGCTTCCTTGTCCTCATTTGTAAGTCTCTTTGGATAAAAGCGTCTGCTAAATGACTAAATGTAAAAGTAAATGTTCTATTGACAATTGAAAATAATGTTGCTTAAGAGGGGCTGAAAATATTGACTTCAAAATTATTTTAGCCTAAATAAAACAAATAAGACTTTGTCCAGAAGAAAAAATATTACTGTGAAAATTTCCTTGCTCTGTTAAACACAATTTGAAAAATATTTGAGAAAGAAAACAAATTCACAGGAAGGTTAATCATTTTGACTTCAACTGTATGTCAACAGGATTGTCAATTTGAGGAAAATATGGACCATGCAGAATTTTATATAGATTGTTTTAGGCAAGTACATTGCCTAAGTACAATGCTTTACTTTTTAGTGAAGGATTACAGTTACTTTGTTACTAATTAAACACAATTTGAAACAAAACATAAAAACTAAAATATCAAGTTAAACTTTGTATAACTTAAAAAATTTTGAAACCTGAGTAACATATTAAAGTAAGTAAACATTTGTTTAATTTTTATCAGTCTATTTAGTCTTATTTAATATTTTTATTTTGTTTATTTTCTATTTTATTTTATTGTTTTATTTTATTTTATTGTTTTTTTTTATTTTATTGTAATTTATTGTTTCTTATTTTATTGTTTTATTTTATTGTTTTTTATTTTTTTCTATTTTATTGTTTTTTTATTTTATTGTTTTTTATTTTATTGTATTTTATTGTTTTTTATTTTATTTTATAGTTTTTTATTTTATTTTATTGTTTTATTTTATTTTATTGTTTTTTTATTTTATTGTATTTTATTGTTTTTTATTTTATTGTTTTATTTTATTGTTTTTTTTTATTTTGTCATTAAGTTTTTGTTTTATTGTTATTTTTATTGTTTTCTATTTTATTGTTTTTTTTATTTTATTGTTTTTTATTTTATTGTATTTTATTGTTTTTTTATTTCATTTTATAGTTTATTTTATTTTATTGTTTTATTTTATTGTTTTTTACTTTATTTGTTTTTTATTTTGTTATTGTTTTTATTTTAATTTATTGTTTTTTATTTTATGTTATTGTTTTTATTTTATGTTATTGTTCATTTTATTTATTTTTGTATTTTATTTTATTTTATTTTATTAGAGATTTTTCCCCCATTGTAGTGGAAAAGTGCAACACGAATGCTTTTTTTATTATTATTGCTTTATTTTTTAGGCAAGTACATTGTAATTAAATTTATGAATGAAATGTAATCCACTACTTTACTTTTTAGTGTATAACTACAGTTCCTTTGTTACTAATTACACTGTAAACAAAACATATAGCTGCCTTCAGTTTTTTTAATAAACTTTTCAATTCACCTAAACTCAATCCAACAGACTCAAAATATCAAGTTAAACTTTGTATAACTTTAAAAATAATGTTGAAACCAGAGTAAACATTTGTTTAATTTCTTTAGTCTACACCTTTACGAGATGCTGTTTTGCCTTTTTATGAACACGAAGCATAAGATCACAAGACCCAAAATAAGTATAAAACAAAAAATAAATCCAACTCACGGTCCTTAAAGGCTCTGTCATCATCAGAATCTGCTCCAGACATGATCTCTAACCCGCAGTCCTCCTGGTCCAGCTCTCACATGCTCTGGAGGAGCTCAAAACATCGCTTTAAGCTCCAGAAAGAGTGAACACGAGGAGGGTCTCCCTATTAGCCCTCTTCTTTTCTGTCCTCCAGTGCAGTTTGTGGAGCCACGGGGGCTTTTTTAACAGACTGGCCCACCTTTTGTCAAGGGTTGAACTAATTAGCTGTGAGGTTGGTTGTTGCGCTGCACTCCCTTATATTCGCACACACACACACACACTCTCAGCACATACACACTCTCATTACTCAGTCGACTATAAGCCCCAGTCCAGGAATGCAGCCCCCTTTTTTCATTCATTCACTGCATGCCTGAATCTGCCTGCCCTCGCAACACGCTTTACATATGCAGCGGCAGATCACTTACTGAAGAGACGAATAAGATGGACAGTAAACCACTTGTGACTGTTTGATTGGGGACTTTAGTGCTTATTATGCTTAAGAGCATTGAGAAATTTGATAGGGGAAAATGTGGAAAATGTAATTATACCATGAAGTACAGTCAAAAGTTTTGGGTCAGTATGATGTTTACAAATTTAAGAGGGACCAAAAAAATTTACTGTAAACATTTCAATTTGATTAAAAAAAATTTTTTTTTCATGTTTTTTTTCTTGTTTTTGTTTTCTTGTTTTTAATTTTATTTTTATTCTATTTATTTCAATTTTATTGTTTTTTTATTATTTATTTTGTTGTCTTTTATTTTATTTTATTGGTTTTGTTTTATTTTGTTGTTTTTTATTTTATTTTGTTGATTTTCATTTTATTATTTTTAGTTTATTTTATTGTTTTTTATTTTTAATTGTTTTTATTGTTTTTATTCTATTTTGTTGTTTTATTTTATTTTATTCTTTTTTTATTTTGTTCTTTTTTTTGGTGGTGGTTTTTATTTTAATTGTTTTTATTTTATTTTGTTGTTTTTTATTTTATTTCAGTGTTTTTTATTTTAGTAGTTTGTTTTCCCCGTGTTGGTGTGGGGAGATAATTTAATTTAATTTAATTTAATTTAATTTAATTTAATTTAATTTAATTTAATTTAATTTAATTTAATTTAATTTAATTTAATTCTGTAATAAAATTACAAAAAAATATTAAAAGACCACAAAAAGTTACTAAAAATATTAATAGACCCCTAAAATATTACTAAAAATATTTTAAAATAACACTAAAAATTATTACTAAACATATTAAAAGACTACAAAAAATACTAATAAATATTACTAAAATGTTAAAAGACCACTAAAAATATTACTAAAAATATTAAAAGACCACAAAAATAACTTAAATAATAATAGACCACTAAAATATTACTAAAAATATAAAAATAACACAAAAATAACTTTAAAAATGTAAAAGACCCCTAAAATATTACTAAAAATATTAAAAGACCACTAAAAATATTACTAAAATATTAAAAGACCACAAACTATTACTAAAAATATTAAAAGACCACTACAATGTTATAAAAAATTTAAAGACCCCGAAAATATTACTAAAAATATTAAAAGACCACAAAAATTACTTAAATAATAATAGACCACTAAAATATTACTAAAAATATTAAAAGACGACTTAAAATATTACAAAAATTTTAAAAGACCACTAAAACTATTTCTAAAAATATTAAAAGACCACAAAAAAATACTTAAACAATAACAGACCACTAAAACGTTACCAAAAATATTAAAAGACCACAAAATTACTAAAAATAATAGAAGACCACTAAAATTACTTAAATAATAGTAGACCACTTAAAAATATTACCAAAATATTAAAAGACCACTAAAAATATTACTAAAAATATTTAAAGACCTCTAAACATATTAAAAGACCTCTAAAAATATTAAAAGACCACTAAAAATATTACAAAAAAATTTAAAGACCTCTAAACATATTAAAAGACCACTAAAACATTACTAAAAATATTAAAAGAAATTTTATACTGTATGAAATATAAAAGTGTTCAAAAGCTCAACATTTTTAGGAAAAATAATTGTAAATAATCATTTATACATGTCGCATGCAAATGACTGGTATATGGAGAGGGATGCTCCGGATTTCCAGAGAGCCTTTGTTTGGACAGATCATCTGACGAGAATCTGAAGTGCAAAGTGAAATTATCTCCTGCATCATTTATTTATCTAACCCAACGCATTCAGACAATTTTAGATGCGTCTCAAGAGTCAAAATGCTTTTTAGGCCAGCATCGTGTGATTTCAATCGCATATATTATTAATACAAATCCACGCTGCACTCAAACCCCTCCTAGATTTTGTGGACGTGCTGTGTTTTTGTTGCTGTTGATGTTTTTTTTTTTTTTGAGAGTTCAAATCATGATCCAAGCTTAGACTGTGCTGTGTGTAGTCCTGCTCGATGAGAAAACATTTCAATCTAGCAGCTCTGAATGCTTGAATGGCTATTGTCCCGAGCACAAATCCAAGTGGCGGACAACATTCCTCTAAATGCCTCACTCAGTCCGCTGAACTAAAAGCGCACTTTATTCCCTCTTCTCCACTTAGCATCCATGAGCCTACTTCCTCAATGTTTGAAGCTCAATTCACTTTACATCATTGCCTAAACCACATTTTTCACAAGTCTGATGCCCCTTATTTAACTTTCTTGTGTCTGCCGAAGAAGGGCTCCATTCAGAGTCCAGCTCCATTATGAAACTGCTTGGGAAGAGAGGGAGGTGTTTAGCATAAATGACAATCACGGAAAGGGGATTCAGCACTGAGACAAACACAGCTTGGGAGCAGAAATGGCCAAACAAAGCAAAACAAAAAGGGAGACATGAGGAGATCTGTATCGGTTTGTAAGAAAATTCGCAGAATGGTTTAATTGGCTGGATGCTGTCTGGTGAGAAACTCGCAGCTATATTAAACTGCTTTTAACCGTTCTCGTTCACCTCTGCTGATAAATAGCTGTAAGGAATTTGCGGGGATGAAAAGACCACCTGGTGTGAGCGAACACTGAGGTCAGGGAAAGCTTCAAGCCTGCAGCTGTCACATCAAAAACAGCCCACAACCTGAACGTCAATCAAAATAAAAGAAAGAAAAAAATGGGTTGTAAGGGTTGAGTGGCTCTTCAAAGCGTGTGTGTGTGTGTGTGTTTTCACTTTTTTTGCATATCTGATTCTGTCCTACATCTTCAAAGGAAACATTTTAGCAGTTCAACTTCATTCATTCGTTCATTTTGCGTCGGCTTAGTCTCTACTTCACAATTCACCACAGCGGAATGAACCGCCAACTATTTGAGCAAACATGATGCCCAGGCATGTGCACAGATAGGGTTCAACCTGTGCAGTGCACATGTCCTTTTTTCTCTTGGATAAAAGTCCCCCTCAAAAATGGACGAAAGTGCCCTGTGCGGTCATGTGATGTGTGTTTTCAGAGGTGTAGCGTAGACAGAAATCTTTTCTGAAGCGCTAGGTGAAACGCTAGTGTGGTTGTAGATCGTTTTCGTTCTAAAACCTCATTTTAAAACTGAAACGGATTAGTGTAAACGAGGCCTAAATCTAGTGAGCACTTCTGCTTTGCTGACATAATCCATCCACCTCACAGGTGGCATATCAAGATGATAATAAATAATAATAATAATAATTCCTCACATTTATATAGCGCATTTCTAGACACTCAAAGCGCTTTACACAATGAGGGGGAATCTCCTCATCCACCACCAGTGTGCATCCACCTGGATGATGCGACGGCAGCCATTTTGCCACCACACCACATCACACCAGCTGATTGGTGGAGAGGAGACAGAGTGATGAAGCCAATTGTGATATGGGAAGGGTTAGGAGGTGTAAGAGGCTAAATTATCATTTGCATTTGTTTATATGACAAAACATGCTTTTTGACTCAAGAAGGTCCATACTGACTACAAAGGCAGATACTGATAAGATCAGGGCCGGTTGTGTGGACTTTGGGGGTTTTATGGTGTGGTCATATGTTGATTGGTCAGTTTGAATGTCTTGAATGGCTTAAAGCCTGATTTATACTTCTGCGTCAGGTGACCGGCGTAACCCACGGCGCATGCAACGCGCGTGGCTGTGCATTTACTGTACGTTCACACCGAAAGCGGCGAGAGCGTCAAAGTAGCCGGAAATCATTCATTTTCAATGAGAGTCGGCGGCGATAAGCGGCGTGGAGCAGCGCGGCGCGTCTTTGCCGGCGTGAGCGTCGAGGAAAGTTGAAATGAAGTCAACTTTATGGTAATGAGCTATGACGCGTTTCGGCGGCAAGCAATTAGAATGAAGACGTCCATCGCTTGATAGCAGTTCAGAGAACACAGACCTGTGAACCTTGGTTCCGACCACAGTTGTTTCCAAGGGTTTGATTATTGCGGTCACCGGATTTCCAATTATTTACAATTTTTTCTTACAGGAACATACATTAAATAAGTTACTGGCGAGTTACTGATGTTCATTAATGTTATATAAATTTATCTTAAAAAAAGCGGGAATCTCACGCGATGTGACAGTACAAAACAGTACTGCTGCTTCAGGATATTTCAGACATATGGACACATATTGGATAAATAGAGCAAAGCCGCACCACACGCAACTTGATCTTCAATTGTTGTATGAATTTGATAAGAAGTGCGCAACATTTTCACGCTATCTCAAACTCGCTCATTTTGAGGCAGGAACCCGCGGACGTGCAACAACTTTAACTATGAGGTAAACACAAAACAAAACTTTCTATCCGGAGCTCCTTCACAGGACTCTAAAAATCGCTCGCGGCGTCGCACCATTCACGCGGCTCTCGGTCCCGCCCAGACTCGTCAGCCCTACCAAGCTGACCAATCACAGAGCTTGCGCTACGCGTCGTTGCGACGTGTAGTTACATTTTTTGAGAGGTGCACGTCAGTGACGGCGATGGCCACGGCGAAGGGCTATGCGTCAGCGCCGTAGCATACGCCGGTGTTTGACGCAGAAGTATAAATCAGCCTTTAGTCACATGGTCAAGAAAGATACAAGATAGGTGGTAAACTCGAGCTCTGTCTCTTTTCCTGCCCTCACTTTTCCTGGCCTGCTTCTCTCCTGCTCTGCTCCTCTCCTACTCTGGAGTCTATCTTCTCTGACTCTACTGCAATAAGGCTTTTGGGCCTGCTCTCTTTGTCTCTCTCTCTCCCTCCCCCTGTGTCTCTCCTTCTACCTTTGGTAGCTTTAATTTTACATTTAAGCTGGGTACAATTTATACAACATGTTTTATCATTTCATATTTGATCATTTTATACAGTATTTTGTTATTAATTCAGTTGTAACCATAGAGAATTATTGTCATTAAATCATCTCATTTTCAAGTATTTGTGAATTACTTTTGATTTAACATCAACACTTAATTGTTCCATATTGCAATACAATACAATAACATAATATCAACGCTCTCCCACATTTATAGTTATTAATACTGCCCTTATTTCCGTTTTTGGTATGAGATTGCAGAAGAATGGTTTGACTAGAAATGTACAGTTTTTTACCATCATGCTGATCACTTTTTAGTCACTCGGCAGAACTACAGTTCGAACCGCTGTGGTTTAAAGACCGTTCTTACAGAGGCCATGATGGACAGAGGCCAGTGGGCAGATTTGGCCAGGATGTCGGGGTTAAACCCTTACTCAGGACATCCTGGGATTTTTAATGACCACAGAGAGTCGGGACCTCGATTTAATGTCTCATCCGAAAGACGGCGCTCACTGAGCAGTATAGAGTCCCCGTCACTATACCGGGCATTAAGACCCACACAAACCGCAGGTTTGGCGCCCCCTGCTGGCCTCACTAACACCACTTCTGGCAGCAACCTAGCTTTCTTATGTGGTCTCCCATCCAGGTACTCACCGGGCGCAGCCCTAGCTTCAGTGGGCGACCATGTGAGAGTTGCAGAGAGCTAGCTGCCGGCTTGATGATTAGACAACATGATTATAGCACAGGTGTGCCTTAGGCTGGCCACAATAAAAGGCCACTCTAATGAGGCATTCACAGCAGATGCGTGAACATTTTGAGTTTACCCATCAACTCCTCATCATCAATTCCTCCAGAAACTGTGCCTGGATGATGAAGGCTTTCAGCGGTGCTTCTGACTGACCCAGTCTGAGTTTGGTGTCCTGATTTCCCCTTGGGACACCAACGACAGGCACGCTTGACTCTTCATCCTCTTCATCCTTGACACTTCATCCGCGTGTGGTGTGAACGTACCAAATCACTCTTATTTTTTTATTGTCACAACATCAGCAGCACGTGTGCTATGATGAGTGAAAAGCTTAGAAATGTCAAATACTTACCGTCAAATGTACAGTATCTACTTGCAGTAATTGCATTACGATAAGCAATGAATTGCGACTGCTGCACTGGAATCAAACTTTCTGCATGCATGCTCACTACAGCAGCTCATTCAGCAGATGAGTCGGGCCGACTTTAGAGCTTTGTTGACATAACCTGCAGCCTTTCTGGATGAAGCGAGCCTTGTTTAAGCCTCCTGCTGTGGGAAATGTAAACGGCGACACATGGACGACTGCCTTCGCCTGGCACTTACTTTGATTGAGGTTTTAGTGAGATGTTGTGCTTACTGCTGATCCGAGAACAGATTGCTGAGCCACATGAGTTGAGGTTTGAAAGAAAACTGCGGTTCTGGGTCAGTATAAAAGCCTCTATCCAGAGTAGAAGAGTTCATAAAAAGCTGTAGATGGCACTTCTGGTCTGTTATTGCCATAAGTAATAATGCAGAATAAACATAGCTGATGGAATATAACCATTCATCTTAAATAGATTAGTAAACGCAGCTAAGAATTGCAAATGGTTGTTTGTATAAAAGGATGAGCTTGGAGATTCAGAGCTGTCATTATTCCTTTTGATTGATCGTTTGGGTACACATTGCTTTGTTCTGTACTCTCTGATGGTGATTTTAAAATTTTAAGATGCACTCATTTGGCCACTTTATTAGGTACACATTACTAGTTCCGGATAGACCTCCTTTTTGCCTTCAGAACTGCCTTAATTCTTTATGGCATTGATTCAACAAGGTACTGGACATATTCCTCAGAGATTTTGGTCCATATTGACATGATAGCATCACGTAGTTGTTGCAGATTTGTCGGCAGCACATCCATGATGTGAATCTCCCGTTCCACCACATCCTAAAGGTGCTCTATTGGATTGAGCTCTGGTGACTGTGGAGGGCATTTGAGTACAGTGAACTCATTGTCATGTTGGCTGGAGGTAGCCATCAGAAGATGGATACACTGTGGTTTTAAAGGGATGGACATGGTCAGCAACAATACTCAGGTAGGCTGTGGCGTTGACACGATGCTCAGTTGGCACTAATGGGCCCAAAAGTGTGCCATGAAAATCTCCCCCACACCATTAGACCACCACCACCTGAACTGTTGATACAAGGCAGGGTGGATCCATGCTTTCATATTGTTGACGCCAAATTCCGACCCTACCATCCGAATGTCACCGCAGAAATCGAGACTCATCAGACCAGGCAACATTTTTTCAGTCTTCTATTGTTCAATTTTGGTGAGCCTGTGTGAATTGTAGCCTCAGTTTCCTGTACTTAGCTGACCAGAGTGGTACCCAGTGTGGTCTTCTGCTGCTGTAGCCCATCCGCCTCAAGGTTCGATGTGTTGTACATTCAGAGATGCCCTTCTGCATACCTCAGTTGTAGCGAGTGGTTATTTGAGTTACTGTTGCCTTTCTATCAGCTGGAACCAGTCTGGCCATTTTCCTCTGACCTCTAGCATCAATAAGGCATTTGCTCCCCCAGAACTGCCGCTCACTCACTATATATGTTTGTTGATGATTATATGGGTCAAATTTCAGAAACATATTGTGAACAACTTGTGAACAAAACCAGTAATAAGCAGACATTAGTTCAACAAATACAGTATGTCTTTTTTGACACAATTCATACCAAGATTCAAAGCGTTAATCTTATAGTAGTAGGAGATGCTATGCAACTGTTGGATTAATGAAGACTGTAAAATTAGTATTTTTGTTGATATAAGAAATGTTGATTGAGCAAAAGTCTCAGATTTCCATCTTTATATCAATTCTATTATGAAAACGAACCCAAAGAATCAATATTTAGAAATGTATGTATTTCACGTGGCATATATTGCAGCATTTGCCTCTGATTTCTGTACTTTATTATGCATATTAACATGTGATAAAAAATTTTACCCACCCTTATGTGGTTCTAAACCAGAGATACTTAAAGTAGGGCCTGCGGGCCAAAGTTGGCCCATTATAATTTGTAATCTTTGATTTGGCCCACCATCCCATATGAGAGGAGAGTGAGAATGATGGAGAGGGTTGGGGCAAATCCCTTTGGCAAAGAGATCATAATTTCTAGTTTGATATAACCTTTTTCAGTTTGTTTTATTGCTGGGCTACAAAAAAAAGCAAACTCAAATAAAATGTTTCAATTAAATGTTTTAAATGAATCAATTTTAATTCTGTCTCTCGATAGATTATGGAAACATCGGACTAAGCAGAAGACATCAGCGAGCAAATCAAGGCAAAAACTAGTGTAATTCTGTTATAAATTAGATTGTTTTGTTTTTAATCTTATACATTCATTATGAAAAATACTTAATTAGTTATATAATGCTTTAAATAAATTAGGAAATAGGGTGTATGCAGAAGCATCCGGAAGGAATTCTAATTTTCAGTTACCTGGGCCAAATGCTTCCGATAAACTTTGTCGTCACAAAATCGGCGCGTTTAAGGTCTGTTTTTTTTTTTTTTTTTTTAAATCAGCGATCTCCATTGGCTGTGATATACAGTAGGTCTCAGAAGCACTGCATTAAATTAATTTTTTTTCTATGCCACCATGTCTATAATATATATATATATATATATATATATATATATATATATATAAATAAATTACACCAGTATTTTCAATGGAGCTTCTCTTCTACCCAGCTAATCCTGACGGGTGTGTGCATATAAATGGCTTCATCTTGTTTTACACTTGAACAACTAAATAAACACTTTCACGGATTATATTTTAATTACAACATCAATGCTGTAAACAAAAATTTGAAAAAGTGGCATTAACCGTTTACCGTGGGTTTATCGGTATGGGAAGAAACGCTAGCTCTGCATATGGGACCACTAGCCTTAATTGAGTTTGGTTTTTGGCCCTTCAAAAGGAAAGGTTTGGGCACCCCTGTTCTAAATGTCTTTTTCTATTGAACACAAAAGAAGATATTTTGAAGAAAGCTGAAAACCTGTAACCATCGACTTTCATAGTAAGAAATGGGAGTCAGGGATTACAGGTTTCCAGGTTTTGTGTTTAACAAGAAAATCACAAAGATTTGGAACAAGTTAAGGATGATTTTTTTTTTCATTTTTTTAGCTCTAGACAAAATTTATGCAATTACTAGACAATAGCTAACTGTTATTTTAGATGTTAGCACATTAAAACAATAATAAACTAGACAAAGCACTGTAAAAGTTGGGTTGTTGTTCCCGCTCCAGACCGATGAGTGGCGATAATGCTGTTTAAGGCGAAGATGAAGGCGAATCCAAAACTCAGTTCGCACTGCCCTCTAGTGTAATGAATTGATTATGAAAAATACATCTGATCCCTGCAGCTGAGATTGCTATTTGCGCTGTTTGTGTGTTCGGGCACTTTGCTTTTGGGCTAACCGAGCTCATCGGTCCGGCATCAGGGAGATGGAGCAGAGGAGGAAGCCTAAATCTGGGTGAGTACACGATCCTGTCAAAAATGCCGAACAATTTTCCTCGACGAGTTAAAAAACAAAACAAAGGCACTGTGCCCTTCTATACAAAGACAAGCTGCAAACTAATAATAACACATGGCTTCAGATTTAATTATAAGCTCTCAAGTTAGTTAATAGGTGGCCTTTATGTTTCTTTATTATGTTGATGTAAACAATATTTGAGAGACTCGCCATATCTAGCTGAGAGGATTCAGAAATGAACTGGTTTAATCCAGTTGTCTGTCCCTTAGTAGTCGGTCAACATCTTTATTGTCTTATTATGTTCTTGAAAAATTATTATCCATCTTAATTTTGTTTTTCAGCTTGTTATTAGTTTGTCTGGACTTACCATTTCACGTCTTATATAACCACTTGTCTGTTATCATGTCCTTTAGTGGTTATCAACATCTGTCATCATGTTCTTAAAAATGTTAATTCCATCTTTATTTTAATCTTGTAATACTGGAGCTATTAAGTATTCATCATTAGTTTTGTGTCTTTTATAATCTGCTGCTTTGGAATTAATATATTCTATCTGACATTTTTTTGGTCAAAAATTGTATTATGTATTATTCGGTACTCAGCATATATAAGAGCATCCCTCACAAATCTATCCTTAAAATTCTTATTTTTAATAGGAAGCTATACAATATATTTGTGCATATACATTAGATTAGCTAGTACTGAAGCCAAATCTTGAGCTCATCTAACAAAATAACTTACGATAACAGTCCAAAAACTAATACAGCCAAATTTATGTTACAGAAAAGTATTAAATACAATTTCTAAAAAAAGGAAAAAGCAAGAGAAGAATTTTTTTTAATAAGTTGAGGTTTTGTTCGTTTGTAATATTTTTTGCAATATTTTGCTTGCATTTAATTGTATTATTTCAATGTCTAAATATGTTTGGTGACTAAAATATGAATGTAATGAATATATTTGTTTAATAAATCTGTTTTGCTTAAATGCACCAAAATACATTGCCTATATTCACTGGGAAATGGATTAAAATATTCATTTTTAAAGTGAGGTGTACTCAATTTTGCTGAGCGCTACTTAATATTGAGGTAAAGTTGCTTTTATATTCGCATATTTATTCAGTGACAACTTGTGAAACTGTCCCTCTATTGTTTACCATGGTACTTTGAATATTTGGCCTAAAATCACATTCAATTGACATCAATTGTGACTTTAATTCTGAGTTCAATTTTGACTTTAATTGTGACTTCAATCGTGACTTCAATTCTGACTTTCAATAGGGAAATAGGAGGTGAAAATAAATACTAAAGGCTGGAATCGAGAAACGAGATGAAAATGACTACAGCCAATCAGAGTCAGAATATCGACTAAGGTTTTCACTCATTCACCTTGTTTTAGTGAATAAATCTTTGCACATTTTTTGTCTGAATTAGAATTAATTAGATATGTAATTAAAAATTATATATTTTACCTGTTTATTTTAATATCTTAAAATAAATAAGTTGCAAAAAATTTTTTACAAATAAGTCATCTCATGGATTTCTATTCATATCTCAAGATAGATAGATAGATAGATAGATAGATAGATAGATAGATAGATAGATAGATAGATAGATAGATAGATAGATAGATTGATTGATTGATTGATTGATTGATTTTTTTTTTATGAGTTGAAACAACTCATTTAAAAGTTGTTTCAACTCATTTGGGGGGAGGACAGCTCAATTGTTTTATTGTCAATGCATTTAAATTTGTAAAGACTATTAAGCTAACTTAACAGGTTTGTGTTGGGACAACAAGAAGGAATTGTGTGAAACCCAGCATTTTTTACAGCGTAAGATTGAAACTACTTCAAAATGGCTCTCGTGTAAGAAAATGCAGAGTACGCATATTGAACATTGTATTGTATGTCATTTTATCACGACAGGATATCTGTGTCCCATCCTGACAAAAAGGACTGTGATGAGTGCCAGTTCCTGATTGGACATGTGGAGCACTAGGTAAGATCCAGTGGAGGAGACACTGCTTCAGACACTGCCCTGCCTTTAGACAAACAGGATTTGAACCCCGGGGTCACGGACTCTCCATAGCCCGAAGAGACAATTCTTCAGTGTTATTATCGGAAATGGCTAATAATAGATGACAAGAAAGCCAGAGCGCACTTTTGGCGGAGTCTTCTTGTGTAGCAGCCGTAGCCAGAGAAGACAGCCGTCCTCAACTTGGGTAAAATATGTTTTAGTCGTTTATGTTTGGAGATGTTTAAGAGGTAGAGTTTGTAACAGTCGGTCCTGGGACTGTGCAATATGGCAGTATATATCGTATTGACAAAAAGTCTATTGTTTGATATTATGCTACATCGTAGAAATTAGTTACTGAAAATATTGTTTTAAAATCTCTCTCAATTAATTAGCACTTGGGAAATATTTGAAAAGGGATTCAAATTTGACAGAAGGGCTAATAATTGAGCCTTTAACTGTATTTTAAAATGTCAAAAAGAAATAGCCCCACCATGTGCTCAATAAGAATGAATTGACTATATTGTGATGTATTTAATTATCAGGATCATGAGATATTTGTCATATCGCCAAGCCCTAGTTGGACCGTTTTAAATCTTTGCTTGTGCCCTGACAAATTGATTGATTTATGACTAAGCAAATATTCTCATTTCAGGTAAATCATGATCCCCATAACTGAGCTACGCTATTTTGTGGACACGCAACCTACATATCGCATCCTAAAGCCATGGTGGGACGTGTTCACCGACTATTTATCCGTCATAATGCTGATGATCGCAGTGTTCGGGGGAACTCTTCAGGTCACGCAGGACAAGATGATCTGTCTGCCCTGCAAATGGGTAGTTAACAAGACCTGTAGAAAGTATTTCAACGCAACCTTTTCCGTGCCATTGGCTCTTGAGCCTCAAGGAATCCAGTACGACCTCGATCGCCACCAGTATAACTATGTCGACGCTGTGTGCTATGAAAACAGGCTTCACTGGTTCGCTAAGTATTTCCCGTATTTAGTGTTGCTGCATACACTCATCTTTCTGGCTTGCAGCAACTTCTGGTTCAAGTTCCCTTGGACGAGCTCTAAACTGGAGCATTTCGTGTCTATCCTACTCAAGTGTTTTGACTCACCGTGGACCACAAGAGCTCTCTCTGAAACCGTAGTAGAGGAAAGCGACCCCAAGTGTCTGGTGAAAATGAACGGTAGCTTTGATAAGAAGGCTTCGTATGTTAGCGAGGACGTCGAGGCCAGCGTTCCCATGCTGTCCACAACAAGATCTCGTATTGAACAAGGAATCGTGGACCACTCTGAAACTGGAGTCCTAGACAAAAAGGAAGGGGAACAAGCGAAAGCGTTGTTCGAGAAGGTGAAGAAATTTCGAATTCACGTTGAGGAAGGTGATATCGTCTACCGACTCTACATCCGACAGACCATCATCAAAGTTGTCAAGTTTATCCTGATCATCTGCTATACCGGCTACTATGTCCACAATATTCAGTTCAATGTAGACTGCAATGTGGACATCGAAAGTCTCACCGGTTATCGCATGTACAACTGCGCCCATCCCTTGGCCACTCTCTTTAAGATCCTTGCCTGCTTTTACATTAGCCTAGTGATTGTGTATGGCATGATCTGCGTGTACACCCTCAGCTGGATGCTCCGGCGCTCCCTCAAGAAGTACTCGTTTGAGTCGATTCGAGAAGAAAGCAGTTATAGTGACATCCCAGATGTGAAGAACGACTTTGCTTTCATGCTGCACATGATTGACCAGTACGACCCGCTCTATTCCAAAAGGTTTGCCGTGTTCCTCTCGGAGGTTAGTGAGAACAAACTTCGCCAGTTGAATCTCAACAATGAATGGACTTTGGAAAAGCTTCGGCAGAGGATCACCAAAAACTCCCAAGAGAAGCTGGAGCTCCATTTATTCATGCTGAGCGGGATTCCAGATACGGTTTTCGATTTGGTGGAGTTGGAGGTTCTGAAACTCGAGCTTATTCCTGACGTCACCATCCCACCAATCATTGCCCAACTTACGAACCTCCGAGAGATGTGGCTGTACCACACACCAGCCAAAATAGAGGCTCCAGCTCTGGCGTTTCTCAGAGAGAACCTGAAATCTCTGCACATCAAGTTTACCGACATAAAGGAGATCCCTTTATGGATCTACAGCTTGAAGAATTTAAGTGAGTTGCATCTCACTGGGAATCTTAGTGCAGACAACAACCGCTACATCGTCATTGATGGTCTACGAGAGCTGAAGCGGCTCAAGGTTTTAAGACTCAAAAGTAACCTTACAAAGCTGCCTCAGGTGGTTACAGATGTTGGCATGCACCTTCAGAAATTGTCCATAAACAATGAAGGCACCAAACTGATGGTGCTTAACAGCTTGAAGAAGATGGTGAACCTATCAGAGCTGGAACTTGTCCGCTGCGATCTTGAGCGGATACCGCATTCAATCTTCAGCTTGCACAATTTACAAGAGATTGATCTAAAGGACAACAACCTGAAAACCATTGAGGAGATCATTAGTTTTCAGCATCTCCATCGACTTGTTTGCTTGAAGTTGTGGTATAACCAGATTGCATACATACCTATCCAAATAGGTACTTTGGTCAACTTGGAGCGCCTCTATTTGAACCGCAACAAGATCGAGAAGATGCCACATCAGCTGTTCTTCTGCCGGAAGATGAGATTTCTTGATCTGAGCCATAATAATCTGACTGACATCCCATCAGAAATAGGAACTCTACAAAACCTGCAATACCTTGCTGTAACTGCCAACAGAGTAAGTCAAGTTCATAGAGTTCAGAATTACATATTGTTTTGAGTTTTTGATTGCACTTTAAATATACTTTTTCCCCCCCACCCCCCACAGATTGAGTCTCTCCCCCCTGAGCTGTTTCAGTGTAAGAAGCTGCGCACGCTGAACCTGGGAAACAACTGTCTGCAGTCTCTGCCCTCTCGTTTCGGGGAGCTCACCAGCCTGACGCAGCTGGAGCTCAGGGGCAACCGGCTGGAGTGCCTTCCTGTGGAGCTGGGCGAGTGCCGACTGCTGAAGAGGAGCGGACTTATTGTGGAGGACAGCATCTTCAACACTTTACCTCCAGAGGTCAAGGAGCAGCTGTGGAGGACTGACAAAGAGGCGTCCTGAACCAGACCACTCAACCTGAGCACTTGCCCTCTTGAGGAATTCAATGAGCAATAGAAAGACGATACCAGTTTGTCACCTTTCATCAGATTGTTTCCTGGAGAAAAGTGAGTATTATCAAAGTCCCTTTAAGGAAAGTAATTTCACTCGGTGGCCATCTTTGAAACACAGCTCGGGCGTTCTGTTCGAATGGGGAAACATCAAATTCTCCAAAATTGCTTGATTAAATTACATATTAGGAATCACCAATGAAATTAAACAACATCTGTCTCTTTAGTTTCATTTCTAAACGTTCGAATTTGCAGAAACTCGTAAATGAATTGTCAGACTATATTGATTCATGATTGGCTCCTGTAATAGTAGGCGGGGTTTCATTCATCATATTGACCGTTCCCCATTTCAAAACTAAACGAGTGACATGTCTTGTGTATTCTATAGTCTTTGGTAGTATTCTGTGTTTTATCTCAACACAGCGTTTCTGTTGGTGGACAGTGAGGAGTGAGCAGACCAAATATTAGATCACAATTAAGGTGCTGTTCAATTTTGCCTTAATAATACACAAACACTATTAAGTATTATATTCGAAACATTTTTACTGCATTTTGTACCAGCGTTACTGTGTGTTACTTTGTTCGTGTGAAATCACTCTACTGTTACCTATTCATCAATCTATCTACCCGTGTTATTCAAGACTCTGATTTACTTTTATTTTTGCATCTCATTGATATGTGAACGAATAATTAATATATTATGAAGACACTTTTTTTGTTTTATCTATACATGCAATGTGCATTGCATGTAACACAATTTCGTGTTATAAATTGCATGATTTAAAGTTTTTCAAAGGTTTATAAACATGCATAATTCAGAAATTCATCATTTAAAAGTCACCTACAAACATTATTTTGTGTTAATAAGCATTAATAGTTGCTTAAATGATTTCTAATGTGTGCAGCTATGCAGTATTTATTAAAGGTCCTGTGAAGTGCTTTGAAATATGCATTTTTGTTCGATGTTTGACGTAATCTCAACTGAAACACAGTGTAGCTCCTCCCCCTTTTTAAAAATCGCCAATAGCGTCTTGTTTTATCTCCGCTCTGCCAGTGAGAGTGGTTGAGCTCAAGCGCATCAAATGAAAAGTAAATGAGAAGCGTCTTGAAGAGGGCGGGGCATGTCAGATACTAGAGAGCATTTGATTGGTTATGATTTGGTGACAAGCTGAAGCATGAGGTAGCATGAATAAAAGTGTTGATCCATTTAAGTAGTGACCAACTTCAAGATTTACATGTTCATATCATTTTTATATCTACTAAACGTGAATTCTGTCACCATTTTGGAGCGCACTAGCTTATAGATATCTTAAAAGCTAACAATACTGATACTAACATTTGGAAAACTTTATTTTAATTTCATGGGACCTTTTAAATGCTGCAAAGAAATGTTAAAGACATTTTTTTAAATGTACACCACTATCTACAGCTATGAAAATATAAAATAATTAGGAGATCACTTTGTTTCTCTATTTGAAATTTATAGTTATATGTTTGAGTAAAACATGATATTGGTTTTGTTCCACAGTCTATTGATGACAGTTTGTCTACATTTAAAATGTAAACGTCATTTTAAGAATCTTCACAAAAAAATGAGAGTTGATCAAAATAACAAAAATTGTCATGTTTTCAGACATGTTTATATTAATTATTAGACCACACAATACTAATAAATTCAGAAAAGTAACTGTAACATCTTAACTGTCTGGTTGACGTTTTGTCCACAGGTTACTAAAAAAACCCCAAAATTTGCATTGAGTGGTGTCAGTAATGCAATTTAAGTGTGTGTGTGAATGTGATAGTGTATGGGTGTTTTCCAGTACCGGGTTGTGGCTGGAAGGTCATCCGCTGCATAAAACATATGCTGGAATAGTTGGTGGTTCATTCCGCTGTGGCCACCCCTGATAAATAAGAGACTAAGCTGAAGAAAAATGGATGAATGATTGAAAATTAAAGGCTAAAAACCTATTGTTTTTTGCGTAATAACCCTGATTGAAAATATTAATTTTTTTCTGGATAAATGTAAATAATTATTTTCATTATTAGATGGCTCAATACTAATAAATTCAGAAAATTTACCAGTAACTGTAACATCGTAACCGGCTGGTTAACGTTTTTTTCATAGTTTATCATTAAAAAAAACACAATTTTTCCATTTTGTGGTGTCAGGAACACAATTCATCTAAGTAATTGGTCTAAAAGACTTCTCGGAGTGAAAATTAAAGGCTAAAACCTATTTTTTTGTGTAATAACCCTGGTTGAAAAAATTTACTATTCTGATCAGTGGAAAAATGCACTTAATGGAAATATTTTTATATGAAATTTGGATTAAATGTTATCAGACTGCTATTAAGGCTGGGTGATTAATCGAAAAGTAATCGAAATCGACATTTTGAACCTTTACTCACTCAAATTTTTCCAGGTCGATTATTTGGATTACTTTCCCTACCAAGTCACGAGACCTCGATGAACTGAAAAACGTTCAGCACTTTGCAACCAGATCTGATCTCTATGGCGTCATTTCAATGACAAATGTCGTGAGTGCAGTATTACAAGTTGAGAGCGCATTTATGTAATAATCTCGCGCGCAGATTTCCAAAACTTATTGCGCGCTCTCAAATATACGCCGCTGATTTATTTATTTATTTTTTTAGAGGTTTTCCCTGCTGAGAAATCCAGTTTAAACCAGCTTTGGCTGGTTGGCTGGTTTTAGCTGGTTGACCAGCCTGGTATTAGAGGGGTTTCCAGCCATTTGCAGCCTGGTCGTAGCTGGTCCAGCTAAATCCAGGTAAAACCAGCTTGACTAGCCTGGTTTAAGCTGGACATAGCTGGTTTTGGCTGGTCATCTCCCAGCCTGACCAGCTAAGACCAGACTGGAAATGGCCAAAACCCCTCTAAAACCAAGCTGGTCGACCAGCTAAAATCAGCCAACCAGCCTAGGCTGGTTTAAGCTGTTTTTTCAGTAGGGTTATGCAATGTCTGTTTTATTTTCAGTTGTTCAACGTTGATGTTCAATAAATAATCATAGATTATATTATGTAGATAATGTGTGTTTTAATTCACTTAAAATACAGTAATGCACCCTTCATTTAAAAAGCTCTCGTAATATGTGAGCATATACTAAACTTTTCAGTAAACTATGAGGCCAAAAAAATAAAAATAAAATCTTAATAATCATTTATTTATCGTAATTAGGTTAAAATGTTCAATTAACCAAGTTTTGATTTTAGGCCAAATCGCTCAGCCCTAACTGCTGTAGAATAAAACAAACACGAATATTTTACTCAAACACATGCCTAGCAAATACATATAAACTCCTGATTGTCATGTGGTGTGTTTGCTTTGTTTTTTTTTTGCATATGCATATTGGTATTACTGTACATTTTTCTCTAAGAAGTTCAGAAAAAAAGCATTTGTTACATTATACCTTGCAAATCCAGCACCTTCTTTTCACCAGTCTGCTCTGTTTGGCATGCCTTGAGAATGAAGTGATAATCCTTTCCAGTGAACAGTTTTCCTTTTGCAATGCATTGTATTCACTTGACAGACATGTAAACATTCACAATGAACTTTGCACTACATGTTCTCTCTCTCTCTTCCATTTATACTAGTGTTATACTCATGAGAAAACGTGTGTGTGTGTTTTCTGTTAAGAAGACAATCAGAAGTATTCAGTAAAGTGTGTGTGCAATATATGCAAGACATTGGCTGAAGTTTAAGTTAGAGTGTGCGATGCAGGTTGATTTTTAAATTTTTTTTACGTCAGTTATTTGCTTGTAGTGGAATTAACATCTTATAACATGTTATATACAAGATTGATGGCCATTGATGCTAACAAACGTACGGTTGATAGGTAATTGAACATCGCTTGTTGCATGTTTACCCATATTACCTCAAGGATTCAGATTTCAGAAGGAAGCATTTATTTTTTTTTTTTCCATTAATACACATTGAAAACTTAAGCTAACAGAATTTCCGAATTTGTAACTCAGGTAAGTGCCGTTCAACTTTCTACAAATGAAGCTCTTCATTTTTTTTTATGTCAGTGTTATTTTTTATTTAATGAAGTAACTGTTTCCAGTGTTAACATGTTTGTAACCATTTGATATATTTATGGCGGATGACTTGATCTGTATTCTGTAAACTCATTATTGATTATTTTTGTTTGATTGTTTTGTGATTTAAATGATGTAAAATAGGAATTTGATAAATGCCACAAAATGTACCAAGCCATATACAGAGTGAATAAGCGCTCCGTTTTGTTAGTGTGTCAATAAACGTCACTGAAAGTGTTTTTGTTTGTTTGTTTTTGTGTCCATTATTACATTTGCAAATGATGTTTCATTATAAAAACGTATTTAAAAACCCATATTTGAAATACAATGTACTTTTTTTAAAAACATATGTTAAAACTACACAGTTAACTCAAATATTTGTTCCAGTTACTTCATTCGGCTTGCATAAACTGCTGTAGTTGAGTTTCACAAACCCAAATATCGTGTACACAGATGTCTGAGAGAATGCATATTTCAAACAGCATCATAAAACATGTTCTTTTCAGATGTTAATAGAAATATGGAGTGAAGCTGGGATTAATTTGGGTCAATCTCTGACATGGTGCACGTAGTTTTGATTGAGAAAGTTTATATTCACACATTTGTTCGTTTTTAACAGTGACAACTTGTAACGCTATGCTGAATATATGATCTGAAATCGCACGCAAGTATGACTTCAAAACAACATTAGCACTATTTCATTGACTGTAAACACTGTTGTACCTTAATAGGCATGGCTGCTAATAATGTATGATCTCCCTGTTTAGAATAAGGAAAGAATACTTTTCTGAAATTAAAATTAAGATGAAAAAGTCTGAATGTGCGATTATAAAACCAACTTTACCTTAAAGTGGTTTTGTTTATGTTTTTTATATATATGTATACAGGGTTCATACAGTCATGGAAAACCTGGAAAAGTCATGGAATTTTGACATGGCATTTTTTAGGCGTGCAAATGTTTTGGAAAAACAGAAAAACCCACAAGGTTTTGGAAAAGTCATGGAAATTACATTTACATTTAGTCATTTAGCAGACTCTTTTGTCCAAAATGACTTAAACTGCGGTCACACTAGAGCTTGTACTTGCGAAATTCTGTCGTATGCGAAAAGGGGTGAGGTTAAACAATATGATCAGATGTTAATAAAACTGCGCGATTGCTCCATCTTTTAATTTTTTTTATTTTAGATTATATTCTATTGGTCTAACGCAATCACCTGCTGTGATTTCACAGGTAAGAATTCACCAAGCTTGAACTTTCGAATGCGAATGAAATGCAAAACTTGTCGCGCGTGCTTGTGTGTTCTGGTCTGCCGCCTTCGCATGCCTATAATTGGAAGTCCATGGAGCAAAAAGTGCAGTGTGATCGCGGCTTTAAAATAGATGTAGTTTACCTACTATTACTAGTTTAACAAAATATTAACATCCTCTTAAATTAATTTGACAAATATCGATATTTGTCAAACTAATTTAAGAGGATGTTAATAGTTACAGATCTGTGTGCTGAAATAGAGGTTAGATGTTTTTACTTCTTTTCTTGACAAAAAACATGGTCTCACATCATTACTGCTGTGTAAGCATCATCTATTTTATATAAAAATAAATTGAAACTAAAGAGATTGTTGCGTGCTTTATGATTTGCTGTAATAAATGTAAACGTTTATTGTTTTTCTTATGATTTATCGCGTATACGTAGACATTGCATGAAATATTAGGTCATGATGAAAATTGACTTGAAAGTCCTGGAATAATCATGGAACTCTTGTAGGAAAAATGTGTATGAATCCTGTCTTTATGTAGACTGATTTTATGTTTACTTGACTGCCGAACTGCAGACACTGAAACAGATCTATGAAGACGCGAGTGTGAAATGGGAACCATAGTTCTTAGCGTTAAGTACATTCGGATGTTTTACAGTGAAACACAAACACAGAAGGCGGTACGCTTGCTTGTAGCACCGTGCTGTTTGTATGAGCTTGCATCATTTTACTCGTCTCTTTAGAACATGGTAAGATCACTATTATACATTTATATTATTAACGTGTAAGTCAAGTGTTTTGAGTCGTTTATATTTTAGTCCACATATTAAATCTAACATTTTGCCGCTCTGAAGTTATTTGTTTAATGGACAGACTGACCTTACAGTGTGGTAAATTATTTTATTGAGAGAATTTTATTCGGTGGCTTGACGAACAAAAAACTTTTTTTGCATGTAGCTTTCAGTTTTTAGGTTTTTAGGCTTTTATCTGTAACTTTTGTGTTTAATTGAGGTAAAGTTGGTTTTATATTCGCACATTAGTTTAGTGACAGCTCCATACATAGTGTACCATACTTTGAATATTCGCACTGAAAACAGATTTAAATAGGGATTCAAATCAACATTAGCACTATTTAATTGACTATTTAATCTTTGTGAACAGTGTTGTACTTCATTAAGGCGAAGTTGGTTTTATATTAGCGCACATTCCGACTTTCTGATTTATATAATCTTAGTAAAGCATTAATGGCAAATTCTAAATAGGGAAATCATATCAACAGCCAACAACCATGGAAGTACAACACTGTTCACAGTCATTTGAATAGTGCTAATGTTGTTTTGAAGTCTTATTTACAGTCCGAATATTCAAAGTACCATGGTAAACAATGTATGGAGCTGTCACTAAGCGAATGTGCGAATATAAAACCAACCAATTTCCTCAATTGAAAACGAAAGTTGCAGAAAAAAAGTACAATTCAAAATTTATTTAGGATGTTTTCGAAAGACCAAAGCCCAAAAATCAACTTTACCTTAATTTGTACTTCGATGGTTGTTAGCTGCTGATATGATTCTCTATTTAGAATTTGCTATTAATGATTTACTGAGGTTATATAATTAATGAGAAAGTCGAAATGAGGGAATACAAAACCCACTTTACCTCAATATTCGGATTTCATCTTAATGTAATTTCAGAAGAGTATTGTTTGCAAATTCAATAGGTATTTGAATTTAAAGAGCCGACTTTTATTCATATCTATATTCTGACGTTGTTGTTTTTTTTTTACTGAGGGGTATGTTTATACATAATGTTACCTGCTCAAATTGAACAAATGTTATTTTCTAGCTGTTTTCTGAATTGAGGAGTTCAAAAAATTATTCCTAAAATCAGCTTTGTAAAACCAGGCTCTGATATGTTGAGGAAAATTATAATTTGAATTTATCTAATATTCTGATTTTTTTTTTTTGTGCTAGAAATATCTGGAGATTAGCTCATACTCAATAAAATAATGTTTGCAATACTTAATGTAGTCAGTCAGGCGGGGACCTATGATGATGATAACTATTAATTGAATAACAGCAATTTTATTGTATTAATAAGCTGATCTGATCATCTCTTAGGCTGTCACACTGCACACAGACCTCGGCGATATGAAAATAGAGCTGTTCTGTGAGAAAGCCCCGAAGAGCTGTGAAGTAACACTACTTTTTTCCTTGTTTCCACATACATAATATCGCTGTATTGCAGCCTTGTTGCTTTTGTACCATCTTTATTTTACATTAATTCCAATGACATTTCCCCCTAGAATTTCCTTGCACTGTGCGCCGGTGGGTTTTACAACGGCTGTATTTTCCATCGAAATATAAAAGGCTTTATAGTCCAGACTGGAGACCCAACAGGTAACTAATCTAAGATTTCTTTCTTTCTTTCTTACATTATGGGACATTTTTTTGTGATTTTATATAGCTTAAGGCAAATTAAATATAAGTGACTGTGTTATTGTTTAAAATAACTTTAGTGAACATATATGAGAAATAATGTTCTGTCTTCATGAACAATGTATTCATTCATTTTTTTATCGGCTTAGTCCCCTTATTAATCTGGGGTCGCTGGTTCGAGTTTGACTGGGTCAGTCGGCATTTCGGTGTGGAGTTTGCATGTTCTCCGCGTGTTGGTGTGGGTTTCCTCTGGGTGCTCTGGTTTCCCCCACAGTCCAGAGACATGCGCTATAGGTGATTTGATTAAGCTAATTTGTCTGTAGTGTATGCGTGTGAATGACTGTGTATGGATGTTTCCCAGTACTGGGTTGCAGCTGAAAGGGCATCCGCTGCATAAAACATATGCTGGATATGTTGGCGGTTCATTCCGCTGTGGTGACCAGGGGACTAAGCCGAAGGAAAATAAATGAATGGATTGTTATGCTCAACAGGGTTGCCAGGTTTTCAAAGCAAAAGTTAGCCAATGGCCAATCAAAACTCTCCCAATCCTTAAACTCAGAATTTGCCATTCTCGTAAGTAAAAATAATAATTTAAATCACTGAATGGATTAAAAAATATATAGTTTTTCTTTTTTTTATTTTTAATTACTGTATATTGGTATTGGTAAATATTCGTTTTTCATAAATAAAATAATCTTACCTTCAAATTGACAGCTGATAAAGCAAATCCTCCGGCTGGTTGTGGTTTTTCCTCTTTGAATATATTTTACATCTCTGTATGCATTACACACATTTTCTTTTAAAAACACTTTTATTAGTAATTATAAAGATTAAATGAAATATGCTGTTTTAGTCATTATTTAGCAAAAATCCAGGAGAGTCCTGCCAACTGTTACTATATAATCAAAAAAAACCTGGGAAAACTGCAGACTTGTCAACACTGATGCTGAATGACTCCTTATTCCGTGTCTTATAACTACTAGTGTCCAAGTTTGATCTACTTTTGGGCTTCTCAATACTTTCAGTAAAACAAAACAAGTATTTAAAAAAATGTGTAGAAGAATTACAAAATGAGAAGCTGAGTTACACTTTTACTTGAATTATCACTTTTAATTGAAATTAAGTATTAACTTTTTATATTGTCATTGCATCAGAATGGTACAAATGCTGACTGGTTTTGATGTTTGCCATGTAAACGCTAAAAATGAACACAATTCAAAAAGGTTAAATGTTCTGGAAAAAGTAGCCGCATTTGTTTGTAGTAAAATGTGAAATTAATTTCATCTAGCAGAAATGTTTAACTTGTTGTTTTGATGCTTGAAAAGCTCCTGTATTTTTATTTTATTTTACAATTGTGAAATCAATGAATGCTTGGTTAACCTTTCTTTTTCTTTTTATAAACCATATTCTGTATGAATTATTTGGTTGATTTATTCACAACTATGATTTTTCTTCAGGCACAGGCAAAGGAGGAACCAGTATTTGGGGAAGAAAGTTTGAAGATGAATTCAGTGAACATTTGAAAGTATGTACTGATAATAAAGAATAATGATGTGGTACTTTACTGAGTCCTGTACCATAATCAGACACAAGTTTAAACTTTATGGCTTGATGATTCATGTCTGAGAGTCCTTGAAGAATAATATTCAATCACATATGGCTTTATTATTTCTGCAGTGTTTTGGGGTTGCATTGATTTGTGTTTGGTAGAAATATTGCGTTATGCATCTAGTCTTTGCAGAAAGTAGCATCACTTTATGTACAAATATTTACAAGCAAGTTAATCATGCCTGAGCTAGATTAAATTGCACAGTCATCTATCCATCTCTGACTTATTGTTTATCTTCTGTAGCATAATGTCCGCGGTGTAGTGGCCATGGCAAATAATGGACCAAACACAAATGCATCACAGTTCTTCTTCACATATGCAAAACAGCCTCATCTGGACATGAAGTACACCGTTTTTGGAAAGTAAGCATTTTGATAGTGATTTATAATAGAAGATAATAGTTATTTGAGTATTAAACTGTTATAATTATACTAGTGGTAATGATTTATAACACAAACTCATCTTTCATTACAGAATTATAGATGGACTCGAAACTCTGGACGAAATAGAGAAACTCCCTGTAAATGAAAAGACTTTCCGTCCTCTTAATGATGTCCGTATTAAGGATGTAACGATCCATGCAAACCCTTTTGCCGGTTGATTGATTGATTGATTGATTGAAACACTCAATGCCTTGTGTTGTAAATATAAATAAATGTTTTGTACTTTTCTTGTCAGTTTCATGCTGTTACGTTAATAATGCTCTAGTCTGGTGCTCATTGAGGTAAAGTTGGTTTTATATTCTCACATTTGAACTTTCTCGCAAATTCTAAATAGTGAAATCATATTAGCAGCCAATGAATATCAAAGTACATTGTTCACGGTCACTTAAATAGAGCTAATGTTGTTTTGAAGTCATACTTGCATGCGATTTCAGACCCAATATTCAAAGTAGCTTGGTAAAACAATATAAGAAAGATGTCACAGTTTAAAAATGAATGAATGTGCGAATACAAAACCAATTTTACCTCAATCTGGTGCTCTTCGGTCATTTTCTTTACTAATATCAGGATGCTGTAAAACTTAGTACAGCTTTTAGTTTAACAAAACACAGAAAAAAACTTATGGATATGATTTGAAGAAGCCTGAAAAATCGACCACATTGCAATTTAATGGGAAACAATTTATGGCTTTTGTCCACATATATATACTTAAAATACTTATATTAACGTGTCAGCTTTGTTTTCTAAAATCAGTGTTAATATTTAGCATTATTTTCAGATAGATTTTTGTGTGTACGTACCACTATTTTGAAAGCCAATAAAGGGACTATTATTTTGAAGTGTTCATGACGCAAGTGACCCGGAAATATGGGTCAACACAAATACATTAATTAAAATAGCTCAATCCCGCAATGAGCCAGGCGTGTATTAAAATGGGGAGAACTATAAGATTACTATAAAATAGTTTTTTTTATTACCGTATTTGTAAATAAAGTAATGGTCCTTTAAGTTGTGAATGAATGACGTCATTAACTCGTTCACTAGACCCGAGCACGTGAGCTAGAAAACCTGCGAACTCAGAACTCATCATAATGGCAGCTCCTGATGCTTTTAAAGTAGGTTTGAGGCTCTTACACAAACAGCATTTCATTTGCAAGCTGAAAACACAGTTATATAGATATGCTGGTGCTTCTGAGTTGTATTACTCACTTCAAGGTAAACGTGATGATTTTGTGTTTTAGGTTGGCTCTTTAAAAGACAAAGTGACGCTGATTACGGGCGCGAGCTCAGGAATAGGTGCGGGCACGGCGCTGCTCTTTGCTAAACTGGGCGCGCGCCTGGCGCTAAACGGCCGCGATGTGGAGAATCTCACCAAAGTCGCCAAAGAGTGTGAAGCTTGTGGAGCAGCGAAAGTAAACACACAGATGAACACACACTGTATGGCAAGCCGTTTGAACGTTTCATCTGTTAAAGTTCGTCAAAAAAAGAAAAAAAAAACTAGTATGTTGGTAACCGTGTTAACAGCTGATTAGTCACGGGGGTGTAATGGACCCTTTTCACAAGACTTGTTGAACAGTCATCATATTATTAAATCCTTGAAAGTTTTTAATATTTAGATTTTTTTAAATGTAAGAACATTTATATGTATAAACGTTTTTTTTTTTTGAGAGATTAAACATTAAAATGGCTTGCCACACAATCCCAGTTTTGAGAGATAAATCCTGATATGTTGTCTGTTGTTGAATTATGTGTTTAGCCGTTATTGGTGGCAGGAGATTTAACAGATGAGGAGACTGTGAGGAGGACCGTTGAGGAGGTCATTGCTCACTTCGGGAGGCTGGACGTCCTGGTCAACAGTGCAGGAATCCTCGCCATGGGCAGCATAGAGACCACTGATATGGCCCAGTATGACAAAGTCATGTCTGTTAATGTCAGGTAAAGATGGTGTTAAGCACATACACTAGATTAAGTAGATCAGGGGTGTTTGAGTGTTCAGATATTATGATGATCATGTGAAGCAGTGTCTAAAGAGTAATTACCGGCAGCTAGCTCTCTGCAACTCTCACATGGTCGTCCACTGAACCTAGGCAGGGCTGTGCCCGCTTAGTACCTGGATGGGAGACCACATGGGAAAGCTAGGTTGCTTTCGGGAGTGGTGTTAGTGAGACCAGCAGGGGTGCTCAACCTGTGGTCTGTGTGGGTCCTAAGGCCCCAGGATAGAGAAGGGGACACTATGTTGTCCCCTATGAGCGCTGTCTTTTGGATGAGCCATAAAACTGAGGTCCTGTCTCTCTGTGGTTGGAAAATATCCAAGTATGTCCTTCCAAAAAAAAGTTTAAAGTTTTACCAAATTTGGTTTTGTGCTTTTGATATTATTAGTAGTATTTTTTATTGAATTAATTTGAAAGGTCTATTTTTTTACGCTATATTTTATTGATAATTATCCTTTTGTATGTCTTCGTACTTTTTAGGTGCATTTGTATTAGTTGATTTTCATTCATTATTGTTTACCTATTATTTAAGTTTAAATGAACACGAGGTGAAAGTGGTACGAATTCAAAAACATCTTTACAGTTAATGCTTTATTTAATCAACTAAATAATTGTAAATATTTTAATGTTTTTAAATATTATCATAATTATAAATAAACAATAATGAAACAGACGGCAAAATGGGAAAGTGTAACTCCTGGTTGGAGAAAGACGAGTTTAAACAGTGGCTGAAACCTGTCGCTGAAACCACCACGTTATTTATTCTTTCAAGCTTTGTTTCCTCCGAGCTTATCTGAGTTCTGTTGCATGGTTGTGCTTTATTGATTTATCTAACTACAACTGTTTATTAACAACTGGTTATTAAGTTAAAGGTTTGATATTGATTAGAACTTGAAGTGGCGATGAGGACTTAAAATATTCTGAGAAGGTCTTTAAAAAATCTTAATAATGTATTGAAAGCACATTTCAGATTCCTGCATATACCCTGAATAAATGATCTTACTGTGTGTGAATGTCTTATCGTATCAAATACACCAATTCAAAAAAGCCATATTCTTCTGCTGTGTTAATGTAGCCTTTATGACCTTTGACACAAAATCAAGCCTTTTCTTTTCTTCCAGATCAATATATCATCTCACTCACCTCTGCGTGCCCCATCTGATCAAAACTAAAGGCTCTATTGTGAATGTATCCAGTGTGAACGGGCAGCGATCAGTGAGTCTGATTTTTCATATATATATATATATATATATATATATATATATATATATATATATATATATATATATATATATATATATATATATATATACACAACAGTTCTGTCGGGTTTTCAAATCTGATTGGCTGATAGCCGTGCAATATTCTGCAATATCAGAACTCCTACACCCTCTTTACCCTTTGTGTATTACTCCACCCACATACAGCAAGCAAAAAGCCGACACTACAGATCTGAAGTTTAAAAGATGCTTGCTCAACTGTTTTAACTGTCAGCTTATGATTTGAATGTGGAATGTGGAAGAAAAGTAGTTCCACATACAAAAGGGTTTTTGAGACTTTGAGACTCTCCGTGTTTGATTTTGTTTTTATATACACAATTATGCCGTCAAACTGTTGTATAAACGCAATATCGCACTGCTACTCGTGTGATATTGCTCATATATATATATATATATATATATATATATATATATATATATATATATATATATATATATATATATACACATACACACACACACACACACACACACACAAGCACCAAATAATCCATTAAAGGGATGGTACACCCAAAAATGAAAAATCCATCATTTACTTGCCTTCCACTAGTTCAAAACATGACTGAGTTTCTTTCTTCTGTTGAACAGAAAGGATGATATACTGAAGAATGCTGGAAATTAAACAGCCACTGATTTCTATAGTATTTTTTGTTTTTATATGGATGTCAGTGGCTGCTTTTTTCCCAGTATTCCTCAGGATATCATGTTTTGTGTACATCAGAATTAAACAAATTCAGTAAATAAATGAGTACGTTTTCATTTTGGCGTAAACTATCTCTTTAATCATATAAATATACATGAACTGTTCATTAGTTTACTCATGTGTGCTCTGGTTGATCTTCATTGTTCTGTCTGTTATAGTTTCCTGGTGTACTGGCCTACTGTATGTCCAAATCTGCCATCGATCAGTTCACTCGCTGCGTTGCACTTGGTGAGGAATCTCAGGAATCAGGAGTGTTATTCACAAGACAAGCTAGCAATAAAAGTAGATTGTCAGATGTATTGTATATATTAATGCATACAGCGGGAAAGTATTGAACTTCACCATTTTTCTCTGAAAACATATTTCTAAAGGTGCTGTTGACTTAAAAATTTTCCACGGATGTTGATAGCAACCAAAGAAATCCATATATTATGCAGTCTAATTAGTTTACAAATGAAGTTATGTGTGATAAAACGAAATGACACAGGGGAAAAAGTATTAAACACATGAAGAAAGGGAGGTGTAGAAAGGCATGGAAAGCCCAGACAGCAACTGAAATCTCTCAGTAGTTCTTCAGCAATCCTCTGCCCTTCGTCAGAGTAAATGAATATTCTCTGCTTTAGTCTAACATCTACATTATCAGGATGAAGATGATACCAGGGTGGACATTTCAGCAAGAGAGTGATCCAAAACACAGCCAAAGAAACTGTCAAATGCTTTCAGAGAAAGAAAATCAAGCTGTAGAATGGCCTAGTCAATCACCTGACTCGAATCTAATAGTGCTGTGAGCTAGCTCTCTATTACTTACAAATAGTACAGTAATTAAAGAAAAGCTGTACTGTTTAACTGAATGTTTTCTTGTCTTTCTTTTGTCGTAGAGCTGGCATCAAAGCAAGTACGTGTCAACTCAGTATGGTATGTTTAATCGTTGCCATACTTTACATGCATGTACAATTATTACTTGGATGTACAGTACTAGCAAATGACTTTGTTAAACTGTGTCTGGACAGCCCGGGAGTGATTATAACAGAAGTTCACAAGCGTGCAGGATTGGACGAGGAACAATATGCTCAGGTTTGAATAAATAAGTATTTTGTTGTCCCAGAAACTATTGTAAGTGATAATATTGTCCTTTTACTGCAAATGTCACATCCATAACGCTGGAATTGCTCTATTGTATATTGCATCCATAAATGACTGTGATCATGTCTATGTACTGTGACAAATCAATATATTGATTGTTGCTACAGGCCTAAATCTTACTGTAATGCATGTTTTAAACGATAACACTTGTTTTGTTTTTTTTGTATTTTGCTTTAGTTCATTGAGAAGTGCAAAGTGACCCATGCTCTGGGCAGACCGGGTGAGGTAGACGAAGTAGCTCATGCTATCGCCTTCCTGGCATCTGATGCGGCGACATTTATAACTGGTGTCAATCTGCCGGTGGATGGAGGTCGACATGCCATGTGTCCACGGTAATGCTCTGCCACGAATCAAATAAAGATATTAAATAAATAATACTTGAAGGCTGTAATCAATAGCGTACACAAGTCATTTCACATATATAAACACTAAGAGGGGAAAAGTGCACGTTTCATGCAGTATCTGACTGCAGTCGTTTAATGAATCACTGTCGATTTTCTGATAAATCACACACTGATGGAAATATGAAAACATTCTTTACAGACCAAGAGTTGCACGTAGTGTTCGTAAAACGGCTGTATGCAAATGAGGAAGAACTACATTAGCATTCAAAACTGAAATACGATCTCATCGGGTATACTGTAATAATATAGTGCAGAGGTGGCCAACCCTGTTCCTGGAGAGCCACCTTCCTGCAGATTTCAGTTGCAACCCTTATCAAACACACCTGCCTGTAATTATCACGTGTTGTTCAGGTCCTAATTAATTGGTTCAGGTGTGTTTGATATGGGTAGCAACTGAAATCTGCAGGAAGGTGGCTCTTCATGAACAGGGTTGGCCACCCCTGATATAGTAAAATCTTTACAAAAGATAAAATAACGTCAAATGATGCAACAGCAGCATTCAAAAGATAAAGAGGATTCATTGTGAACGCTCCTGTCAATCACCTGTACAGCTTTCTTTTTTGAGCAAGAATCAACTTGATCGTTTACTATAAAGGTACCGTTAGCAGTGAAAACGCAGGTCTGATTAGGGTGACCCGTACCGTTCAGAGGAAATGAGGCATTTGACTGGACGTGTATCTCAATCAATTGTTACTAAAGGTGTGTTCATACTGGACAGGTGTGTTCAAACTTAAGGTGCTTTCACACTAGCACTTCTGGTCCGCACGCGGGTTTGTTTGACGTCAGAGTACGGTACGTTTAGCTAGCATGAACCTGTATCTCTTCATAAGTTCTGAGCTGAAATACGATCACATGTACACACATACAAGCGCATTTTAAGCACAAGAACCAAACTACAAGTATGAACACACCTTCAGTGTACACTTATGAATTAAAGGGATAGTTCACCCAAATATGAGATTTACACATCCTGCACCGGTTTAATTTTATTCTGGTGAATAAAAAAGAAAGATATTCTGAAGAATGTTGGAAAGCAGCATACATTGTCTTCTAATGTTGGAACTAAAAACAGTAGGGTTGCACAATATATTGTTCCAGCATCATAATTGCAATGTGATCATTCGCAATAGGATTTTCAATGTTGAGTCTGTTATAATGTGTCATTTGATTGTGTTTTTGAGGTCTGTGACTGTTTGAAGACTTTTGGAAGCATTCAGGCAGTAACTTTAATAATGATTATTTTTTTATTACTGTACCAAAGTATACTGTATGGCAAAACAGCAGTTCAATGGTTAGCACTGTTGCTTCACAGCAAGAAAGTCGCAGGTTCGAGCCCCGGCTAAGCCAGTGGGCATTTCTGTGTTTCCCCCCACAGTCCAAAGACATGCACTATAGGTGAATTGGATGAACTGAGTTGGCCGTATTGTAAGAGTGTGTGTGAATGTCAGAGTGTATGGTTGTTTTCCAGTACTAGGTTGTGGCTGGAAGGGCATCTGCTGCGTAAAACATATGCTAGAATAGCTGGTGGTTCATTCAACGGTGGCAACGTCTGATAAATTAGAGACTAAAGGCTGATTTATACTTCTGCGTCAAACGCCGGCGTATGCTCCGGCGCTGACGCATAGCACTTCGCCGTGGCCGTCGCTGACGTGCACCTCTCAAAATTGTAACTACACGTCGCAACGGCGCGTAGCGCAAGCTCTGTGATTGGTCGGTTTGGTAGCACTGACAAGTCTGGGCAAGACCGAGAGCCGCGCGAATGGCGCGAGCTGGATGCGAGCACAATGTTCACGATTGTGGAGTCCCGTGAAGGAGCTCCTGATGGAAAGTTTTGTTTTGTGTTTATCTCATAGTTAAAGTTGTTGCACATCTGCCGGTTCCTGCCTCAAAATGAGCGAGTTTGAGCCACTTGTACATCCAAGAAGTGTTCAGGAAAAGCAAAACAGCAGAGAAGAAACTCAACACAGAGGAACATTAACACCTCACTGCCCACTAGCGTTTCGGAAGTGTTAATTCAGACCGACAGAGACAGCGCGCAGAAGTATAAATGCACAGCAACGTGCGTTGCATGCGCCGTGGGTCACGCCGGTCACTTGACGCAGAAGTATAAACCAGGCTTCAGCCGAAGGAAAATTAATAAAACCCAGAAAACTCAATATTAAATCAGCGGTGTTTAAGAATGCACTCAACAGTGCTCAAATGCAAAATGGACATTGACCTTTTAAAATTGGTGTTGAATCCAGTATCTACCCTGCTGGTTTCCAACAGTCTTCAGCAGAAACTCAAACAAGTTTAGAACCACTTGAGTGCAAGTAAATGGTGATAATTTGGATGAACTATCCTTCTAACACCAGTGGATTGCAGGCTAATTGACTTCAAGGCCCCTGTTTGTCAAAGAAGATATTACCGAAATGTCCTCTTTTTCCTTCTGGTTGTAATAAAAATAAATAAAAAGGGATTTTCATGAAGATTATGGTTTCATAACGACATTTTAAATCCGTTTACAGCTCTGCTCCTTGAAGTTTACTGAGGCACTCCTTTTTGAGAACCACTTGTTGAGACAAAGTCCATGTCGCATATATTAAAAAATACACATACGCAATATTCCTACAAACTTATAATCCTTCCAGCAAACTGCCTTCGTTGGCATTATCAAAGCTGTTTTTCCCATGGATCTGCTTCAGGTGTTTACGGAGAACTGGTTTGTGCGCAAACACCATGTCGCAGTAGTTACAGCGGTGTGGTTTGTCCCCGCTGTGAAGGTTCAGGTGGTCCAGCAGCGAGCACTTCTGAGTAAACGTCTTCCCGCAGATCTTACACTGGAAGGGTTTGATGCCGGCGTGGACCCGCATGTGCCGGTGCAGGTTTCCTTTCTGGGTAAACGTCTTTCCACACAGGAGGCACATAAACAGCTTGTGCATCTTCAGATGGTTGGCGTAGTTCTCCAGCTGACGAAATACACGTGCGCATTTTGGGCACTGGTGGTACCACTGCATGCTCTTCTCCCCGTTCCTGGAGCATCCCCCCCATAGATTCCCCTTCCCAGATCCGCTAGGTCCGGGTGTAGACATTGAATATTCAGCTGTGGGATTAACGGTGATTTCAGCAGGCCGGGTTTCCACGGTGGAGTTTATCAGGGAGTGTTGTGGCTCAGGTGAGCGTAGTGTTGGGGAGCGACTGCGACTGGAGCGACTCTGGAAGTTGTCAGGCACGCGCTCATCTAATGACTCCACTTTAACGATGCTAATCGGACTGTCTTCTCTACTGTTGTTGTTTCTAAACACCGCTGGTGGAGATTTGGGCTGTATGATCACATCATCATCGTCATCATCATCATCAAACTCATCTTCTTCATTGTCCACCTCATCCTCTTCATCACACACTTTCTTCACAGCCGCTTGATTGCGCTGAGGGGTAAAGTCTGAAGGCTGTCGCGATGATGCACGCTCATCTTTGACCTCATGTGGTTTTATGAATTTATTTAGCGCTTCGGTGCACTGCTCCACAATATGACCCATCTGCAGAAAGCTGGCTACGGTTAAATAGTGTACTAATTCAAGTTCTGGGAACTGAAGCGTCCCGGTGTAGCAGGACAGAAGAAGCTTCTGACCTACCTCAGCATCCTGCTGTGTAGCTATTTGGACTTCATTCGAGTCCTGAAGGACAAACTGGTCTCTGAGGAAAGGGGAGCCGGCAGCGAACACCACTTTGTGTCCAGGCACCTCCAAGTCATTGATGCGGACCACCACATCACAAAAACGCCTGTCTCGACGAAGAGCATCCATCTTTTGGAGCATGGAGTCCCCGAATGTGGCAAAGTTGAACTGCAGTATCACCCCGTCCTGAGCCATGGTGTGGGCTACTATTTAAAAATGTACAGGTTAGTAGAGATATGACAGATTTAAATCGTTAAATCTTGAGTATACTTCTTTTAAAGCACACATTTATATCCAAACATTGATGGCGTTTGTTAATAGTATGAACATTTCTTGTTGACACGATGCTCTTGATAACGTTAACGTTAGTACAGGCCTGGAAACTGCACTGTGCTAAAGCAGAAACAGTGGATGAAAGAAAACTGACGGTAAAGATACATCGTTAAAAGAATAAAGTAAACGTGTTTTCATTTAAAATATAAATACCTGCGACAGTTTTGTCTCTATCTGGGTGTTTTCTGGTCCTGCAGCTCCTGTATGTGTGTGTATGGATTCAGACGGAAAAGGATGTGCTGTGAGACGGAGTCGAGCTTCCGATTGGTTGGGGAAATTTAAAGGGGCAGGACGCAGATACAGGTGGCTCATTGTGAAAACAGCTTTTCCGTAAACATCGGCTTTTTATTATAGTTAAGTTCCATTTAACACTACTTAAGGGAACATAAATGTTTATCTGGAGTTAGAGCTTAAAAAAACTGTAATCCAACACTATCTGGACCATTTTATATGGTGACCCGTGGTAACTTGCCTTGACATCTAACGTTAGCATCTTCAGGATTTAAAGACTTTTATTTTATATTTTACAATAGTATAATAATAATAAAAATAATATTAATGAAGACTACTGTTTTGTTTATGCTGTTTTGTTTATGAAAGAGATAATTTTACAATAGTAGCCTGTTACTATTAATTTTATTGTTACATAGCCAAGCCAACATAATAACAATAAAATTATATATATATATATATATATATAACGTTTTAATGGTGTTACATTATTTATGTAATCCATTCATCTTTAAATATGACAAAATAACTTTTTTTTTTTTTAAATGATTGTTCCAGTTTTATTTCCCAGTACTGGGTTGTGGCTGGAAGCCCTGTGTAAAACATATGCTGGAATATGCTGGAATCATTCCACTGTAGTGACCCTTGATAAATAAGGGAGTAGGCTGAAGGATGAATGAATGTTCCAGTTTTAAGTTCGTGCTGTTTTTCTTTCTTTCAGTGAAACTCATGAGTATTACAGTATTATAAATAGATAATTATCAGTTCATATTAATTATTAGAACAATTAATGCTTTTGTATTAACAATAAACATTTCCCAGGGCTTTTTTTTTTTTGTAGAGAAAATCTAATTTTATTAGTTGATAAACTAAATTTGCCACAAGGAGGCAGTGCGTTCACTCGATGGAGTTTTAGTGGCTTGAGGACGTACTCACCGGCCACTTTATTAGGTACACCTTATTAGTACCAGGTTGGACCCCCTTTTGCCTTCAGAACTGCCTTAATCCTTCGTGGCATAGATTCAACAAGGTACTGGACATTTTCCCCTGAGATTTTGGTCTATATTGACATGATAGCATCTAGCAGTTGCGGCAGATTTGTCGGCTGCATAACCATGATGCGAATCTCCCGTTCCACCACATCCCAAAAGTGCTCTATTGGATTGAGCTCATCTCACTGTAGAGGCCATTTGAGTACAGTGAACTCATTGTCGTGTTCAAGAAACCAGTCTGAGGTGATTTCGCGCTTTATGACGGTGCGTTATCCTGTTGGAAGTAGCACCTTTCTTCCCCGTTGTGATGCTCGATTTGAACTGCAGCAGATCGTCTTGACCATGGCTACATGCTTAAATGCGTTGAGTTGCTGCCGTGTGTTTGGCAGTTGGACAGGTGTACCTAATAAAGTGGCCGGTTGGTGTATATGAATAACCTTTTATATAAATGCGGTAACTTGTAATGCGTTTGTTACAACAATGCCTGTAGTTCAGCAACAATAGCAAAGCAGACATACAAAATCATCTGAAGTTTCATGAGTCTCTCAAACACCAAAGACCAAACAAGAGTCAGAATGCACAGTTTATTGCAAATGCTTAACCATACAGTACATTTACTCATCGGCACAGTGGTTTATATGGGATAATACACAGGCTGTAAAAAAAGACAAGCTTTTTGTTTGTTCATAAGTAACTTTGTCATTGTGCTCCATCTAAAAACGCTCAAAAGGCCTGAAAATGTTGTCAGTTATTTAAAAAAAAACCTTTCATGTTTCAGCCACCCTCATTATGAAAATTAAAAACTGAACGGGACTGTTATATTAGTATTGCATTTCCATTGTAAATAAACGTACTGTACGGCTCAACGAAGAACCTTTAAAGTCTATGGAGAATTTCCACCCTACAAAAGGATCTTTATAGTGGAAAGGAAGGTTCTTTAGATTTTTAAAATAACAACAATCATGATTTCTTTTAGCCCTCTTACTGCATTCAGGTCCCTTTTGTCCAGGAAGAAACGTTATATTATAATTATAAGGAGTAATAAATATCTAAATATAAGGGAACAAAACATCGCACATGCTTTTAGATCCAAAAACATCACACGCATATTAGGTTTCTGTGTATTGTGGGGACTTTCCATAGACTTTTAATTGTTTTTAATCTGACTAAACAACATTTCTGTCTCCAACCCAATATCTAAACATAGTACTTACAGTAAACCTGTGTTTTGTTTTTTGTTTTTTTTGTATTTTAGTGCATGTTTTACTATCTTGGGCTTCACTAATTGTGTGGGGAACATTTTGAAACACAAGTTTCACACAATGTATTCTGTTGACATACATGTATGCCTATCGACAAAATCATTCCAGCATGAAAGTTTTATGCCGTATTTCATCTAAGTGAAAATGCATGAATTTATGCAAGTAAAATGTTTATTATTAATATTAATGAGTCATATTTACTGTATTTTGTTTAACACATAAGTAACTTTCACAAGTCTTTGAGTAATATTGAGTATATTTAAAGCACTTATTTGAATTATTTAAAGAAATTGTCTCATCAGTATTGTCTTTTTGTGTGGTTCATGTGTAATATTATAATCATATCTACGCTTCCATCTACTGTTTTTAATGCACAATTTGCTATATCACATAAAAATGGAAACATCGCTAAAGGTTCCATAAAGAATCCTTAACATACATAAAACCTTTCCAAAACACATAAACAATATAATTAGAGGAAAAGGGTTCAGATTATTTACACTGAGAAAATTAAATATTACGAGAAGAGCTAAAAATAATGAAATGCACACCAGGACCTGACGTGGCTGAAGAGAGGACCGAGGCAAACAAAGTACGTTTTTTGGCACTCACAAGTGTTTTTGTAGCTTCATATGCTTACAGTTGAAGTCACAGAATATTTCAACAATTCCTTTCTAGACTTCAATAATCTCAGTTCCATTTCTGTGTATTGAGGACGAGAGAGCTCCAGGATTTCATCTAAAATATCCTAACTTGTGTTCTGAAGAGGAATGAAGGTCTCAGGGGGATTGGAACAACATGAGGGTGAGTAACTAATAACACAATTTTCATTTTTGTGTCGACTAATCCTTTAAATATATAAACTGTTATATTTCTTGGGATGTCAAAAGAACAGCCGAGCTTATCAGAGCAAACCAAAGTGAAAGTCTCCTGTTCACCAGGACTGATTGGCGAGAGTACAGTCAATGTTTCGCCCAGAAACCCTCACAAAAGCAAGACATCTGACACCACGGAGGATTGGTGTCGGGGCTTTTTCAGCTTGATTTCATCCTTTGCTTCAGTTTCTCACACTGAGACCAGACAGGTTCAAATCCCCATCCACAGCTACAGTACGTATCGTTTTTCTACCTCTGCCTCTAAAACTATAGTACTTCATCCAGGATAACAGCGAGTATCGTATGTATTTAGTTTCGCCGTGTGACTTTCGATCTGTGGTGTATTGTTAAATGACCCGCTCTACTGCGACTCGCCTTATAGAATCAGACCTAAGGAAAGCCAAGAAGAAATAAAATCAGAGACAGAGTGTAAAAATGTGCTGCTTTTTTATGATAAAAAGAGGCGGTCGGAAAAAAATCATCAAGCTGACACATCACTACTGTGTATAACTGAAATGTTTATTAAGGTTTTTGGTGAACACGATGGTCTTCTGTCCCAAAGCACAAGAATATGTGTGTCGCTTATGAGCCGGACTCACTTTTTTCGTTCTTCAATCTGTTCGACTTCACTGGATTCATCCACCACCTTTCCGTTCACCATGGTCTGGGTGACCACCTTCACAATCTTCCTGGTTCTCACTTCAGGCTCTTCTACAAAAGAGGGAAAAACACAAAATAACTTGCGATAACAGTCCAAAAACTAGTACACCCAAAATTTAATTTTATTTATTCATTTTCTTTTCGGCTTAGTCCCTTTATTAATCTGGGGTCGCCACAGCGGAATGAACCGCCAACTTATCCAGCATAAGTTTTACACAGCGGATGCCCTTCCAGCTGCAACCCATCTCTGGGTAACATCCATACACACTTATTCACACTCATACACTATGAACAATTTCGCTTACCCAATTCACCACACGTTTTTGAACTTGTTAGGGAAACTAAGGCCTAGCCGAGGCTTGAACTAGAGGTCTGCATTACAGCCGTGGGACCCGACCAGATTTCCTGCAGCGCGGGAATACATTTCCGAATAAAGCGCGGGAGCGGTTGGTAACTGGTGTATTTTGAACGGGAGCGTTCTAACAATATCGATCCCGACTCCCGTATGTATGTGTGTGAATGAGAGAGCGTGATGCTGCGTTTAGCTTAATGTCTATGGGTGTGTATGTGTGTGAATGAGAGAGAGAGCTTGGTGCTGTGTGTCGTTGTTCATCCCCCCTCCCCCGGGCAGGGCGGGGCTGGCAGCGGGACAACAAAAGCTGAATATAAGCTGGAGCGGTCGGCTTCAGACTAAAACCTGGCTGGAACGGGATTCAAAATTTAGTCCCGCCAAATCTCTAGCTCGAACCAGTGACCTTCTTGTTGTGAGGCGACAGCACTACCTACTGCGCCACCACGTCCCCCTTAAAATGTATAAGTTATAAAAAAATATTAAGTACAAATTTTGAAAAAGAGGAAAAATCAAGAGAAGCAAAACAATTGAAGAATTTAGTTGAAATTTTGTAGGTTGTAATTTATTTTTACAATATTTTGCTTTAATTTTTGAAAGTGCTTTATCTTTCAATTTCTAAAGATGGTTGGTGACTAAAATATTATTTTAATAAATATATCAGTTAAATAAATCTGTTTTGTTTAAATGCACCAAAAAACATTGCCTATATTCACTGAGAAATAAAAATATATATTTATTTTCAAAATGGGGTGTACTCAATTATGCTGAGCACTGTGTACAGTATAATACACTTTACTATTGTACGGTTCAAAACTGTATATTAATTACTATAAATTAGTATTAAATTAGTATTTGTTCATGCATGTTGAGCTGTATAGATATGATTACAACAGACTTACTTTTAGGAGTGACTATCTCTTTCATCCTGGAAAAACACAGAAAAGGAAACAAATGTCAGATAATCTGCTTTTCCACACTGAAAAACAAGATTCATGTTATTTATTAACATTTCTAAAGTAAGAGGTTGCACACAATTAATATGGGCTGAATTTAAACAAACAAATGACAAACATTAACAAACATTACACAATTTAGGGTGATTGTTTAAATTAAGCCCATATTAAATGTTTGCAACCAATGAATCGGTTATTTTTCAGTGCATCGTCTGATTAGTTTTCAGTGCATCGTCTGATCAGTTCTGTATGTTTCAATGAAAAAATGCTTTGAGAAAGTTCTTACACGTCCTCTCCGTCCAGCAGGCGCCTGTAGGTGGCGATCTCCAGCTCCAGGTTCTGTTTGATGCGCAGCAGCTGCTCGTAATCGGTCTTGATTCTCTGCATGTCGAGGCGCAGCTGTGAGAGCTCGTCCTCCAGCTGTGTGAGTGAACTCTGAAGACGCTCCATCTCTAGAGTGTATTTCTGATTCGTCTCTTCCAGGTTCCCTTCAAGAACGCCAATCTGAGAAGAATCGTAATATTCACAACACCCTTAGCGAAATTCGAAGGTCAGAATACTGGTCGAAAGTTTGGATTTTTTTTTTTTATGTTTTTTAAATATTTCCCAAATGATGTTTAACAGAGCAAAGAAATTTTCACATTATGTCTGATAATATTTTTTCTTCTGGAATTATTATTTTTTGTTTTATTTCGGCTAGAATGAAAGCAGTTTTTAATTTTTTTAAAAGCCATTTTAAGGACAAAATTATTACCTCATTTGTGTGGTTTATTCATAAACTAATTTCGAGAGGATCACGTGCTTTAAATCAACACGGCTGGCTCTTTATTAGCTCCGTAATCAGCCCTATTAGATGATTACGGAAGCATTATAAATAACCTGAGTTTGTCACTCCAGTTATCTTCGTCTTGAAGCTCCCCCCTTTCCACCCCTTCATCCTCCTCCTTTTCTGATTGGGCGACACGGTGGCCCAGTGGCTAGCACTGTTGCCTCACAGCAAGAACACCGCCGGTCCAACCTTTCGGGCCGGTCGGTGTTTCTGTGCGGAGTTTGCATGATCTCCCCGTGTTCGCGTGGGTTTCCCCCGGGTTCCCCGGTTTCCTCCCACCGTCCAAAACATGAACCATAGCCAAATCGACTAAAACAAATTATCATCCAATACAACCTCAGTTCACACTTCTCACGGTGACAAGCAGGGGAGTTTTCGAGACCTACCTGACCTCGAACTCCCCTCTCGCCCTTCTAACGGGAGGGAGCCCCGGGCCGAGGATATTACGAGCTCAGGGCTCTCTCCCGGGACAGCATGCCAAATACGCTTTATTGATCATCAGCTAAGTGTGAACTCTTGAAAGGCAATATTTTTCGTGATAGTCTACAGAAAGAAAACATTGTTATACAATAACTTGCCTAATTACCCTAACCTGCCTAGTTAAACAAATTAACCTAGTTAAGCCTTTAAATGTCACTTTAAGCTGTAAAAAATACAAATATTTAGTCAAATATTATTTACTGTCATCATGGCAAAGATAAAATAAATCTGTTATTAGAAATGAGTTATTAAAATTATTATGTTTATAATTATGAAAAATAATGAAAATTGTTTCTGTCCGTAAAACAGAAATTGGTCGGAAAAATAAACAGGGGTGCTAATAAAGGTTGGGAGGGGGGGAGGGGGTGGTAATGCCAAAGTAAGGAACAGTATTACTTTCCGTAAAAACGCTTAGCTAATTATTTTTTTAGGTAACTCAAGACTAATATATATCACTTTTAAAAGTAACTTCCCCCAACACTGGATATAAATACAGCATCTAACATCAGAATCATTTTTAAAGATGATCTTGTAAAATGACTGCTCTGTTGAATAACCTGCTCTTTAGAAGTTGTTGGACCATGAGATGTGGTGTGTTTTCAGCTTGTCATCACAAGCATTGCAGAGTGATTTATTACACAGGAGTAAACAACATATATGGCGTATGTTTGCATTGGGCCGAGCAGCAGATGGACGCACTGCGGTTTCCTGTGCTGAAGAGAGCTGAACCTTGACATGCTAGAGATCTGCTGACAAACTGTGGTCTGAATTATTGCAGATCTGATTAAAAAAAACAAAGTCCAAATAAGGTGAAAAGCACTGCGAGGATATGATGCTTTAAACAGATCACTGGCATATTTGTTGACCTTTAACCACCGGATAGAGGTTCTGACTGTTGGAAGAATGTTTATCCAAAAGAGTTTACAGATGAGTTGGTAACACTTCAGATTGGGGAACAATCTCTCACCATTAACTAGTAACTTATTACAATATATATAACAGTTTATTAGTAGTTAAAAAGCAGAAATGAATGCTGTATTCTGCATGACTATATTTCAGATCCTGTAATCATTCCCTTAAAGTCTTCAAAACTACCTTACTATCTATTACTAAGCAGTAAATTAGAGTTTAATGGAAGCAAATGTTATAGTAATAGTTGATAATTGATCCCAAAACTAAAGTGTGACCACTGAGTGGATCTGTTTTTGTCCATATTATTTGAAGTTCAAGTACCTGTCAGTTTTAATAAAGAAAAGAATTACAATCCCACGAATCACTGCGAATGAAACATTTAAATTAAAACAACAAGGAAATAAAACACTATTTAAGTTGTTAGTTGTGTCTACAGAAACCATATATTTCAAGTTTATTTTCAAATATGAATTTTATATGCATTTTTTATTAACTCAAGGGTAAAGGTAAATATATATTTTGGTGTACATTAGAGGTCTGTGCAGGACTGTTTTTTTAGTCCCACTCCCGTAAGATTTTCGACCACTCCCTCTCTATATTCAGTCTTTGTTCACCCGCTGACTCCTTAGAATAATTTTCTACCCGACCCGACTGTTCCCACTAAATTTAGATCTGGTTTCCAAAATCTCACATTTAAATTGGGTACTACCAAAAGAGAGAGATAACAGATAAAACTGTAGGTTGTGCAAGGATTGTGTTTATTTTTATTTGTCTTGTCAAGATGCTTTTAACATCAACAGCTGTGTGAAGCGTTTTCCCGAGACAATATCTTACTGTACATTCGAATGTCTTGGCAATCAAACTTAACACATTTGTCTGTGGTTTCTGCTCTGGCACCTGCAAGGATTTAGGAAATGTCAGTTTTGTTAGCCCCTTTGTGATGAGACATGAGTGCAGCCTTAAACCTGAGGTTCCAGTCTTGTGACTGCTAAAGGGTAAAACTATGAGGCATTTATCACATCACACAAAGGGTAATTTTTTTTTCCATTTGTGTCTTTGACGCATGAAAAATACTTCCATACATCAGATGTACTTGATGTGGGTTTCCTAACAGTAAAATGACCATTTTCTTATGCAAGCTAATTGTCCTTTTCTCACTTTGCTCTGCCATGTTGGTAAAGCCCACTCTGACAACCGTTACACCCTATTTACACCGGGCGTCAGCTTTAACGTTTCCCATTTACTTTGAATGGGTGACGTCAGGCATTGCCGAACTGCATTGTGGATCTGTCGGCACCGCTTCAGTGGCGCTGCTCGCTGCAGAACTTGGGACTATCTCAACTTTCAATCGCTGACGGAAGTGTCAGCCAATCAGATCACTGTATGCAAATACACTAGCTCAGACAGTAGCCGATGTGCTGACTAATTTTATTGGCTGACGCTGCAATGACGATCGCATCAGCCTCAATTTCAGACACGCCCTTCTGTCAAACGTTGGAGCCCTGTGTAAATGGGGCGTAATGACAGACTGTGCGAATAAAATACATGTGCAGAAAGCACTGATCCATGCGTTCAGCATGTCGTGAGCACTGGCTGTACTGGTGCTCAATAAGAATAAAGAAATCACAGATATGCTGTTCTGAAATAACGTCGGGAATGCTATATTGTTAGACCGCCCGCCCGCCCGCCCTGTTCAAATTACACCAGAGTTACCTCCTGCTACCGCATTTTATTCTGAAATTTTTCCCGCGTCGCAAGAAATCTGGTCAGCTCATGCGGTACAGCTGTGAGAATGCAGACCTCTAGTGTGCATTGCTAATTGCGACTCTTTGATTGGTCAGATTTTCTGTACAACTTAATGTTGAGTCGCAAGAGTCGTTTTGAGGCGTTGCGCTACGCTGTTTAAATAGCAAATGCATTAGCACTCATATGTGCGCCCATAGGCGTTCTGGTCTAAAAAGGAAGGTGTTCTGAGGCGGACCGCTGGCGCGTCGCTATTTTGAGAAACTATAATAGATTTTTCATTAGACCAAAACTAACCCGGTCTAAACTCAGGCGCAGAGTTGTGCCTCGCTTACGCACTGCTTAATACACACAAGAGAGCAATAGGCAAACATCTTTACAAATTAAAAAAATTAAATATTAAGGATATATATAGGATATAATAAGAATAGATATAGAATATAAATATAAAGGATTAAAATATTACAAAACATATTATTTTCTAGTCTACATAAATATGAAAAATCACTGCTTTATGTCTTCTTCATCTTGGGAGGCTTTTTCAGTTCATTCATAACAATTTGCTTTGGTATAATAACTATAATAAATAGCAGTATTATTTAATATATCCATATTTATATTTGTTTCATTAAAAACAAGCTTAGATTTGCCCACCTGTCAGGTTTAAGGCCATATGGGGCATGGCAGGTGTATTTGGAAATAACTCAGTATTTTGACAACATTTGGTCATTATTGTTCATTTATTCGTTTGCTGGAAATTAGAACTGAATTTAGAAATAGTTTTGAAACAAATATTTGCGCTTAACTAACGAAATTAATTATTTATAGGCTAATTGATCTCTGTGCGTAAAGGTTTCCCTATCCAAGAGCGAAAATGAAAGTAGTTCCATTATCTCTCATTCTCACGCAGTAGATGCTCTGTTTAACAGTTTTCTGTTAAAAAACTGTTAACTATTTGCTTGTGAAATGCTCATTTTTTCCACTTAGACTTACTTTGCGTCCTGTAAATAGCGAATGCGCTCTTGGCGCGACGCAGCTTACTCGTAAAGGGAATGGGAGATGAGACTCTAATTGGTTTATTCTCAAAACACACCTATAACTCATTAAGAAAATAAACTCAACCCTTTTAGACCATGCGCCCTGGCGCAAGGCAGATTTCCCATCCTTAAATTAGCAAAAACGCATCCTGACACACCCTGAAAGCGTTTGCGCCCTGCGTTTTGCGCTCTGTGCATGGACCGTCAAAATAGAGCCCTTGATGTTAATTGACAACCTTGACGTCAAAACAAAGTCAAACCGACGTCGTAACATTGGCGTCAACAAAACATGACCAAAATCAATTACATGACAATAATGTAATTGATTTTTGACACAGACGTTAAATGTCAATTTGTTGTGGTTTTGACGTCGATTATTTTAAGGCAGTCTCTTCCAACCCTGTTCCTAGAGGCACACCAACAGTACATGATATCTTATCTGGCCCATTAACTTCAGGTTTTGGAGTCTCTTCTAATGTACCGATGAGTTGGTTCAGGTGTGTTTGATAAGGAAGAGATTGAAAATGTGTACTGTTGGTGTGCCTTCAGCAAGAGGGTTGGGAAACACTTCTTTAAGGTACAATTCTTGCAATTAATAAATCAATACCTATGACTTTTCCCTCAATAAACTCCTAATTTGCTGCTTATTGATAGTTATTAAAGTAGTTAGGCATTGAGCATTAGCAATGTAGAATAAGATTATACAAAGTATGTATTTTATAAATATACTAGCAAACAATTAGCATGTTAATAACAGGCAGGTAATTCGCAACTAGTTAACAATGACAATTGTTCTGTACATCTGAAGTGTTACCCAAAACCCAGTGTAAATTTGTTAATTGTAACTGAATCTTACAGATTAATAAAACTTTCTTATAATATAATACTTTTTGTGTCATTATTTTGGTGGTCAAAAGGGCATCAAAGTGTTGGATGTTAAATAGACGTCAAGGTTTTAACATCAAATCCAAGTTTTTTGATGCAATTCTTGATGTCAATTGGATATTTTTTTGACATAAAGGTGTCCGCTGACTGTGACTTTGTATATTATGAACATGTTTTACATGTAGTTGAAACTAGGCCACTGAATTATAACAAAGTAATGCATACCTGAGGTGTTGCTGTGGTCACAATATGAACACCCTGGTCTTGCATGATACTAGTTACCACACCTAAAGTCATTGTTCAGAGTCATGCTTTTAGTAACCCTAGTATACAAACCGCCACGATTTTAACCTCCAGCAAGTACAAAATGTGCAAACGTGCAGTTGGTGTTGTGTCACCTGTTTGCGTAGACTGTCCAGCTCCACCTCGAGCGCCTGCAGGAAGCGTCGTCTTTCATTGAGTTCAGAATGAGCGCATCGCAGAGCCTCATTGCTTTCCTTCACCTCCGACTGCACGGCCTCCAGCTGTCACACACAAACACACAGCACACATTCAGTGAAACACACCTGTGTTTGCAGACAAATCAGCAGACTATAAATGGAGGACTGGGGTGTGGAGTAGTGAAGGGTCATTCTTGAATGATTCTTTCATTTGGAGTGATGCAGGAACAGAGAGTCATCTCAAGGAGTAATCAGCTTACTTTCACTAAAACTATAGTGGGATCAAATTCCCGCCTAAAGTATCGTGGTCGCGGATAGAAAAATAATAAGCGTAAATCAAAAAATTGTTTGTAAAATTGTAAAGGGAATTTGATCTCATATACTATACACTGTAAATAATGCTGGGTTCCACACAATCCCTTCATGTCATTCCAACCTGTGTTAATTTTAACACAGGTTCATTGTGATTACGTACCCCTGTATACATTTCTGGAAAGCGTGAATTATGTAGCTAGAGGTAAGTATGGTTGCATTACCCAAACCGCTTAAATTTCTCTTTATTACTGTGAAAAATCCTAGTGTGGAGTCTGAGCTTGACTATACACTGACCTTTTTCAGATACCAAATCTCTGCGTCCTCTTTGTTCTTGCGTGCGATGTTCTCGTACTGAACCCTCAGCTCAGCCATGACGGCTCCCAGATCTGGGCCCTGAGCTGCGTCCACCTCCACGTTCACCTGCTCATTGGACAGACGGCTCTTTAGAGCGTTCTTCTCCTACACAGAAAGAGAAAACGTTGTCTTTAACAATCTCGCAAGACAGTATTTGGACACTTTTTGCAACATTAATAATTAGATTAGGTTAAGAGCTAATAAAGGATTTGTTGATCAGGGTTTTATATTTTATATCCCCTGAGACCTTCGATCATCTTCGAAACACTAATTAAGATATTTTAGATGGAATCCTGGAGCTCTCTCATCCTCCATAGACAGTAACAAAAGAAGTTGAAAGTCCAGAAAAGGAACCAGAATCATTGTCAAAATAGTCCAAATGAAGTTTTTTGGTGCACAAAAGTGTTCTTGGAGCTTCGTCTGATTGCAGCTGAACCTCTGAAGTCACACGGACTGTTTTGACAATGTTTTTGGTTTTATTTCTGTAACATCTCAGGAATGTTGCTGTCAATGGAGAATGAACAAGCCCTCGGATTTCATCTAAAATATCTTAAATTTCATTCAGAAGATTAAATGAGTCTTAGGAGATTGGAACAACATAAAGGTGAAGCTTTGTTATTTATGTGTATTTACCTCTTCATGGTTCTTCTTCAGGAAATAGAGCTCTTCTTTCAGACTGTCCAGATCTCCTCGAAGGGTTGTGATGAACTGATCATGATCAGATTTAGCTCGTCTGAGAGCGTGACAGTCTCTCTCAACCGACTGACAAAGAGTAGCTTCTGCCTCCCATCTGTTTATGAACAAATATCATAATATACCGGTAAAACACAACATTTCAGGATTGATTTTTCTCTTAAATGATAAAAACATGGCCCAAAAATAACGCACTTGACCCTAAAATCTTCAGCCGCAAGTTTGGCGTTGTCAATCTCCAGCATGATCCGAGCATTCTCCAATGTCTTCTTTCTAACCTGCAGAACAAAACTGTGATGTTAACTGCCTGTTAATAACTTAAAGACATTACATTTCACAAGAATCTGACACTCAGCATGTTTAGATGGACGTAGTTACACGTTCCATCCGTTTACTATAGTAATTACAACGAATTGTGCTTATTTTAATGTAACTAACCCTTAACCTAACCCACATTCCAACCCCAACAATATAGTAAGTACATGTAATAATTTAATAATGCTCAGTAGTTAAATAGTTACACTGTAATAACAACACCTTAAAATAAAGAGTAAAATATAACCAAATTTACATATACATCTGAACGCATAATCGAAGTGAACACAAGCAAAAAATTTAGACATCGAGTTGTTCTATTTTAGTAATGTTATTTAAGTGCAGTACAGAAACGTACACCCCATTACTGTTATGTAGGACTTTTAAGCTCATTTTGTGACTGGATTTGCAAAGTGATTAACAGTTTGGGAGCTTTGAGCAAGACGTTTTGTATCTATTTATGTACAGCATGACAAATTATTAGCTGCACAGAGCAGCATTAATAGACGCCTAAAAGTGCTTAGTGTGCTCAAAGTGCTTGGTGTGGTAAAATAGTACTGCTTTTTCTCCACATGATCTGGAAGTGAAGGAAAGGGGCATAAAAAAAAAGCTCAGCTGCTTTCATGTCATTAGCAATTGCCTTAGCGCTTTCGTTTAGTTTGGACAACTTTTGATCTTAGGAAAAGATCACACCAAAAGTGTTTTTCAGTTCTGATAATGGCGCACAGAACTGCCTTTTTGTTGACTTTAATAAAGAGTAATGTGCTGTGCTTTTTATGTTGCTTGCCATCCACTGTGTCAATGGTCTTGGTGCTGGAGCGCACAACATCGGGAGCTTTTTTTCCACACAGTTTACTTTTTTCAACCGCAGATGCACACATCGCTCTATCAAAAATGTAAGATGCATAAATAAAGTGCAAAATGCTTACTGCCAATAAATTTTTTAAAAAGGCCACCCTCACAACAAATAATGAATTTGGTGTGATCGGCACCTTACTCTGCATCATTTTACCATGAAAACAAATTTTGAATACTTCAAGTCATCATGAACATGTTTTCTGCAGGTGTCCTGTAGGATGTAATGAGGACTGCAATTCCCATGATTACAGACTTAGTCACAGTCATCAAACTTTGCCTTTGTTTGTTGTGAATATGCGCCCACTAGTGGTGAAAGTTACATGTCGGACCTTTAATCAATCTACTGTATGTAGATCTAGTATAAAATGGAAAATGGAAACTGATTCTTTAATTTTTCTTCAGCTTAGTAACTTATTTATCAGGGGTCGCCACTGCGGAATGAACCGCCAACTATTTCGGCACATGTTTTATGCAGTGGATGACCTTCAAGCCACAACACAAAGATAAAAGAATATCACGTTCACACACACACTCACACACCACGGCCAATTTAGTTCATCCAATTCATCTACAGCGCATGTCTTTAGACTGGGGGTGAAACTGGAGCACCTGCCAAACCCACACCAACACATGAGAACATGCAAACTCCTCACAGTAGCCGCTAAATCAGTGGCCGCCTTGCTGTGAGGCAACAGCGCTAACCACTGAGCCACCATGCCGCCTTCTTCAGAATAAGGTAAAAGATTAGATTCTTACGTCCACGTAAATCTCCCCACCGAGACAAAATAACAAACCTCTTGTCCAATTGCATGTGCCTGTGCCATCAGTCCCTCAATGTCGTGACCTTTGGGTGCTCGCTCAGTCATAAACTGTTTAATCTTCAGCTCCAGGTCAGCGTTGGACTTCTCCAGCGAGCGCACCTTTTCCAGGTAGCTGGCAAGTCGGTCGTTTAAGACCTGCATGGTCTCCTTCTCGCTGGCACCGGCTCCCAGACCGTTCAGTGAGAGGTTGCTTATGATGTTCAGGCCATTACCCAGAGAGGTGGAGCGGGACAGGGACAGAGTATTGGCCGATGAGAGGGACACTGGGACTTTAGGACGTCCCCGAACCCCAATGTCCCGCATAGACATGCTGGAGAACGACGCTGTACGTCCCAGACAGTGACTGGTCATGGAGAAGCTGGATGTCATGGTGCTTGCAGAACCAGAGACGAGGTTTCTGGACGTGATCTGATGGTAAGGAAAATATTTAAAGAGTTTTTTTGAAATAATATGCTAAGATTAAGTTTTTTTTCCGTAAAACAAGCTAAATAAACTGCCAATGGGGTAAGCCAAATAAACCGTGGTGGAAAGAGTACTGAAAAATCATACTCAAGTAAAAGTACTGTTACGTGCTTAAAAATGTAGTGCAAGTAGAGTAAACGTATTTGTTGTGAATATTACTCAAAGTATGAGTAAAAGGTAAACCTTTCAAAAGTACTCAAGAGTAGTGAGTAGCGAGTATTACGCTCAAAATTACATGTTGAGTTTCACGATATATTTAACTAAAGCTCAACATCTTAAGTTGAAACAAAGAATCTCTTTAAGTTGAGTTGACTCACATTAGCCCCTTTCACACATACAGACCTTTCCGGAAAATTGCCGGCAATTTTCCGGAAAGGTTGTATGTGTAAACAGGTCCTTTTTGAAAATACCGGTAAATTCGTTCTGGCTATTTTCCGGAAAGAGAAGTTGTAACATTACCGGCAATTTGCCAGAATGCTGCGCTGTGTGAATGCAGAAGGAAGATTGCCGTAATAAGCGCGTGCACGTCTAGAACGTGCTGACGTGAAACGTCTGCTTTAGCCAATCACAACAGTCAGACGCATTTACGTCCGCGCGGTTTGTGAGAATAAAAAACCTTTGAATATTTTTCCAGACACATTTAGCTGCTAGAAGTTAGTCAGATCACGTTTATATGTTCTTCTTAATGCCAACTGTGTAAATAATCATCGATGAGATGCATATGATAAGCCGTTGTTTGTTTACCTTCAAGCTTTGCGTGTGCCTGTGAAACAGCCTGTGAGCGCCTGCACACGCACATATTATGAACATCTCGACATGAGAAAGTGATCCTGCGAAAGTTGTTCACAATATTGATCATCCACAGAGTTTGTAATTTAGTCAAATGTTTACAAATACAAGCGCAGCCGTTTGAAGCTCATTTGTGGTGAATGATGTCAGAATTTACCGGTATTTTGGAATGGATGTGTGAATGCTCTTTTCCGGAAAATTTCCGTAACGTCCTCGCCTGTGTGAACATCGCTTTTTTGAATATACCGGTAAAGTCGTTCCGGAAATTTTCCAGATATTTACCGCTATCACTGTGTGAAAGGGGCTATTTTCAAGGCAGCTGGTGAACTTGAGTTTGTAACCAGTGTGAAACGTTTTACAGTGCAGTTTATGCAATGATTATGATAAGGACGGTTCATTCATTTATTCGTTTTCTTTTCGGTTTAGTCCCTTTATTAATCCGGGGTCGCCACAGCGGAATGAACTGCCAACTTATCCAGCTTGTTTTTATGCAGTGGATGCCCTTCCAGCCACAACCCATCTCTGGGAAACATCCACACACACTCATCCACACTCATACACTACGGAAAATTTAGCCTACCCAATTCACCTGTAACGCATGTCTTTGGACTGTAGGGGCAACCGGAGGAAACCCACACTAACGCAGGGAGAACATGCAAACTCCACACAGAAACACCATAAGAACAGTTTATAAACACAATAAGACTCGTAAATAAAGTGCTCCCATTCTATTTTTTATTAATAAAGTAAATAAAGATTGGTTGCCCCTAATTATTTTAAGGCATACAGAGTAACTAATAATTTAACTACCTACATTTTATGTACTCACTATATGTTTAGGGATAGAATATGGGTTAGGTCTAGGGTTAGTTGCATGTAATTATGCATAATAAATTGCAGTTACTAATAGTATGCACTGTGCAAATGTAATTACTATAGTATGCACTTGTAACATGTGTAACAAGGACATCTTAAAATAAAAAAGTGTTACCCAAAGATTAATAAAACAGCAGTAAATAATATATATCATTTGTTTTGTGTGTGTTGAATGCTAAATACAGGATCATAAAGTGTGTAGAGTTATTTTAAAATTTTGCTAAAGTTATTTAAAACATACACTGTGAAAAGCAATTAGTTGACTTAACTTAAAAAGTGAGTAAAGCTGTTACTATATAATTATTAAGTAAATTAATTATGTGCATAATTATAATAAAATAGTCAGTTTAACAGCTCCAAGTTATAATAGTTTACTCAATTTTCATGAAGTATTAAGTACTCAATTTGTCAACTAATTTAAATCAACTAATTGATTTTTACAGCGTACAAAATGTTACATTTGACAGACAAAATCATCATCACAACACAAAGAAAACTATCATTTGGTTGCGAACAAAGCAGAAGAGGGACATTGTGTATATGAAATATAATACTTACATGGATTGTATCCAAAAGCTGGGCAGCTCCTGTGTGTGATTTTGTCCAGGAAGGAACTGCTGGCTTTTATTGGTGTCTGTTCAGGTCAAGCGCAGTATTTATGCCCGCACTCCTCCTGAAGTCTATGGAAGACCATGGCCAGCCAATCACAACCCTCCACAGGTGAAAAGATGACTGAAACCAATAAAACACAATGAAAATTTCCCAAGGCACTGTCCACAGTATACACTGCACATTTGTCATTGAAAATAAAAGTTAACAACAATAATTAACAATAACAAAAATTGGTCGTTTACAATAAAACTTCTTTGATTCTTTCATTTAAGTTTTACTAAAAGATGCCATGAGACTTAAAGGCATAATTCACCCAGAAATGAAAACCCTGTCACCATTTACTTTATCCATCCCAGTTTGAGTTGTTTTTTTGTTTGTTTTTTCAAGCAGACGAGAAGATCTATTGAAGAATGTTGGAAATCTGTAACAAATACTATGAAAGTCAGTGGTTACGGGTTTCCAGCATTCTTCAAAGTATCTTCTTTTCCCTTTTAACAGAATAAAAAAACTCAAACTGGTTTGGAACAAATAAAAAATTTGTTGTTTATGACAGAGTGTATGGATGTTTCCCAGGTATGGGTTGCAGCTGGAAAGGCTTCCGCTGCTTGAAACATGTACATTTACATTTACATTTACATTTAGTCATTTAGCAGACGCTTTTATCCAAAGCGACTTACAAATGAGGACAAGGAAGCAATTTACACAACCAAGAGCAACAATGAATAAGTGCTATAAGCAAGTTTCAGGTCTGTAAAGTCTAAGAAGGGAAGTATTAGTAGTATTAGTTTTTTTTTTTTTTTTTGTACAGTTAGTGTGATATTCAAAGAGGCAATTACATGTGCTGGATAAGTTGGCAGTTCATTCTGTTGTGGCGACCCCGGATTAAATAAGTGACTAAGCCGAAAAGAAAGTGAATGAATGAATAATTTATGACAGAAATTTAATTTTTGGGTGAACTATCCCTTTAAAAACATTTTTAAAAAGAGTTTTATTATGATACCAAAAATATTTTCTTTGATTTACTAATTGAATAAATCATAAACATGAGTGAACCAGTGCTATAAGATGAAGTGTTAACAATTATGTTTTAAACAGAAGTGACTTCATATCCTCAATGGGACAGGGTGTATTTAATAACCATAACCCATTTTTTTCTTCATAATCTGGTGTAACTTGATTTGCTTTAGACAAAGGGGGGAACGTCTGTTTCTATACACTGACACTATTCAGTGTGGCTACAGTGACCTGTAATGTGAGAATTGGGTTTCACACAGAGACTCGCCAACCAGGAAGAAGCTTAAACAATGATGAGACCGAGAGAAAGCAGAAAGACAAAACCTATGAGAAATGTATTTATTTGGGGAGGATGTTGGCCTGATCACCTAGTTTTTAAAAATTGAATTAAATTAATTTTCTCTTTCTATTATGTTGGGATAAATTGCAGACCGTCTGTGTGTTTCCTCAGTAAGCTGGAGCTCCAGGAAGGCAACAACAACTGAGAGATGTGAATCCAACAGTTTATTGCTCTCTTCTAAAGAAGTCTGGGGTATTCCCAGCTTTTATACATCATACTCAGGGTTATATGGGTTATGAATATGTGCAAATATTCAGCTCAGTTAGGCAGAACAATTTTATCCAGTGCTCAAGAATGTCAAGGCGCAACGTCAAGGCGCCTAGTACAGGGACAACTTACAATAAGATAAAACACAGTTACAAAACAGAATATTTGGAGAGTGACTACATGGATATTTCTTTCAATCCCCTCTTCCAGGCTCTGTTTTTACAAGAGCCTGGATCATACCATATTCTCATAAACTCTATTTGTTAAATGGTTACCCTCATTTCCATTCATAGCTAAATGTTTATAACCCTTTACCTAAGGCATTAACCATCCTATACATTCTTTCCATAAAACATCTCAGAAGACATGGACCAAAAATACATACACATAAGAAAATAATAAGTACCGGTACTACCATTGAGACATATGGAGCCAATGATCCAAACAGGCTTTCTAAAAATCCCCATCCCCAATTAAAATTTCTTTCCTTCATCTCATCCTCATACACCTGTGATGATATCCTTTTCATCGCCTTTACAGCTTGTCCTACTCGTCCAAGATCCTCATCATCCGCGGGAACGTAAGTGCAGCATTGGCTCTCTCCGACCAGGGAGCAGACCCCGCCCCTTTCCGCTAAGAGCATGTCCAGAGCCAGTCTGTTTTGCATAGTCATTAGTCTCAGAGCTCTCATCTCCTCTCTTAGTCCAGAAATGGCATCCGTGGTACTGTTTATAAAAGAGGCCAGTCTATAATGCATGATCTCTTGCTGTTTTAAGGCATCTGCCACGCCAAAACTGGGAATCATAGCCTCCCAGAATCTAGTCCAGTGTGATCTCATACGGTGTTCGTCGGGTACGTTGTCCTGGGGAACTGACCTCCGTTCCCTTCCGGATTGTCTGGCAAGATGCATGACAGTGACCATGTGTTGTAATTGGATCACAGTACAAAGACCAGTCCAATTGGTGGGGTAAGTGTTGAAGATGGTTTCTCCCCCACAATACCAGTACCAGTCATCGGCCAGGACCGCATCCTGTCTCGGCCAAGTGGGGACACAAGTTACGTTGCTGCGTTGACAGTATGTGTTGTTCAGGTTGTAACATGCCGTGACAGCTGTCTCATTTGTGATATTAGCACATTTAAGTTTGTTCAGTTCACAGGTGCCTGGGATGTAACGTGGACAAACACTTAGTAGAGAACTATATTTTTTATTCTTTCGCCATGGTAAATATACCCCTGAAAATCGATCCCTTTCGCCAATTACTATATTACAATCTTTAGCTCTTAAGGTGGATACATTACCTCCATTTGTCTCATTAAAGCAAAAAGAAAAAGTGAACCCCTGGGGTTTTGTCAACAAAATATTCAAACCCTTAGTTCTAGGTGTAGGTATTACAACAGAATGATTCTTTCTGCTAGTTGATTTGCAAAGAGGCTCCCATGTTTTTTTGTTAGAAACACATGTGGGGCGCCACTCATAAATATCTCCCAAAGCATTTGTACAAAAAGCAAGTTTAGTATATGTAAAAGGCAAAGGTTTCAAGGATATAGTCACAGCAGAGGAGAACACTTCTTGGCAGACAACACATGACTCATTGGTTGTCTGTCGTGCAGTCCAGTTAGCATACTGCCAGAATAAGTTGTGTACTTCAGTGTGGGCCTGTGTCAGTCCCAGTAGGGTTATCAGTAGAAGTAGTCTGCAAAACAAAAACTATTAATATCATATCATAGACATTTACTTCAATGGTTTCACTCTGGTGCCATGGATCCACTGTGGAAAAAGATCAGTTAATACAGCAGTGCGTGTAACAGCCAGAACCTCAGCTGGCCCTTCGTATTTGGGGTCAGTTAAATCTTTCTGGGGTTTTATATCTTTTATTAGCACCTTGTCCCCTATCTGGAAAGGGTGTGCTGCCTCAAGTGGAATTTCAGGGTGTTTCTTTGTTACCCTTTCCCAATACTGATTAAGTTTCTGAATTAGGGCCGCTGAGAATTCTGATATGTGGTTAGAAAGCTCAATACCCACTCCCATAATTCCCCCTTGCCATGGGATAGGGAAAGGTCTTCCCATGACCACCTCATATGGTGATAAAGAATCCAAATTTGCTTGTGGTGTCATTCTCAAATCTGCTAGTACTATTGGTAAAATTTTTACCCAATCTTTATGACCGTGTTGTCTTAAGGCCTTCTTTATCTTTCCTTTCAAGGTTCTGTTAGTTCGCTCCACAAATCCAGATGATTGTGGATGATAGGGTATGTGGAAACGCCAATTTATATTTAATTCAGTTGCCAATTGTTGCGTTACCTTTGATGTAAAAGGTGTTCCTTTATCTGAATCGATACTTTGTGGGATCCCATATCTAGGTATAATTTCAGAGATCAGTTTCTGTGTTACCACCTTTGCATTTTCCCTTGAGCAGGGAAAAGCTTCTACCCATTTTGAAAATTTATCCACGCAAACCAGTAGATACTTAAACGGTCCCCTCTTGGGCATATGCGTGAAATCTACTTGCCATTCAGAAAAAGGTGTAATTGGTCTTGGTAAATGTTGGTGCTGTGCCACAGTCTTTGATACATTATATTGAGCGCATATAAGGCATTTGTCAAGTATGTTATTAATGGTGGTTTCTAGTTTTGGGACACAAAACAAAGATCGCATTGTTTCATGTACCCCTCTTCGTCCACGATGAGTGACACCATGAAATTCGTGGACGAGGAATGACAGTGCCACATGTGGGAGACATAGGCGACCTGTCTTGTCGTGCCATAGACCCATCTTTTCATCAAACGTGGAAGAAAAGTCGTCCCAGAAGGACTTATCCTCGTCAGTGGCTGATGCTTGTAACATAGCCAAATCAATGTCAGGGAGCATCCCCGAAGCCGAGGTTGTAGACAACAAGGAAACGTGCATAGAGTCCTCAGGCAAAGGCTGTTGTGCTGCTAATAGCATGTCGGTCAGCCAGAGCGTTTCCTTTGGCTTCATCAGTGTGTTCCTTCGAATGGCCCTGAGTTTTAACAATGGCCAGTTGCGAGGGAAGATGGCAAGTCATTATTAAATCAGTTATGAGGGTATGGCTGCGCACCCCCCATTTGTTGGAGGGCGACATTCAAAGTTTGATCGAACAGACCATCGCCAGTCATCGTTCGAAGCCTTTGCTTGAGCTGTTCTGGAGTCATTTGAGATTGATCAGATAATTGAAATTAAAGTATCTTCTGAACATCTGGAGTACAGTTACTAATAAAAGTGGAAAAAAACTAAGTGGTAAAGTGGTTGTGGTTGCCTTTCAGGGAGATCAAATCCTCCCAGATGTATCCAAGCATTGGAAAAACGCTGGAGGAAGGCAGAAACTGTCTCTTTCTTTTCCTGCTTACAGCTGGTCACGTGTGACAAATCTCTATGAGCACAACGAGTGTCCACAAGGTAAGCAGTAAGCTGTCGCTTCAGGATATCTATAGCACCCTGTTCATCCCGCCAGTAAAAGTACGGTACA